CCATAATGAGCAGCGGCATTCCCGGGATGCGTTCCCCCATCCCATAGGAATCAATGGGAATGTCGCCATGGGGTTGCTGCCCCCCATCCCATAATGAGCAGCGGCATTCCCGGGATGCGTTCCCCCATCCCATAGGAATCAATGGGAATGTCGCCATGGGGTCGCTCCCCCCCATCCCATAATGAGCAGCGGCATTCCCGGGATGCGTTCCCCCATCCCATAGGAAGCAATGGGAATGTCGCCATGGGGTTGCTCCTCCATCCCATAATGAGCAGCGGCATTCCCGGGATGCGTTCCCCCATCCCATAGGAATCAATGGGAATGTCGCCATGGGGTCGCTCCCCCCCCATCCCATAATGAGCAGCGGCATTCCCGGGATGCGTTCCCCCATCCCATAGGAATCAATGGGAATGTCGCCATGGGGTTGCTCCCCGTGCCCCATTGAAGCCCCATAGAGTCAAACCCCCCCCCCAGCTTGCTGGGGGGAAGGAGCGCGTTATTCCCACTCATTCCCAACCCCAAATCCCGAGGGATTTAAGCCGGGAATCACCCGGCTCCCGTTGGAGAGGGCGATGGGCGCAGTGGGCCGCAGTGATTTCCCTTTAGGTTCGTCCATCCCATAATAAGCTCTTTATGGGTCTCCGTCCCCTTTTGGCTTGTGGGGTGCGTGCGCATATAGGGGGCTGGCCCCATAGGAGGCCTTGTGCCCCCCTTATCCCATCCTTGTCTCATCCCATCCCATCCTTATCCCATCCTTATCCCATCCCATCCTTATCCCATCCCATCCCATCCTTATCCCATCCTTATCCCATCCCGTCCCATCCTTATCCCATCCTTATCCCATCCTTATCCCATCCTTATCCCATCCTTATCCCATCCTTATCCCATCCTTATCCCATCCCATCCCATCCTTATCCCATCCCATCCTTATCCCATCCTTATCCCATCCTTATCCCATCCTTATCCCATCCTTATCCCATCCTTATCCCATCCCATCCTTATCCCATCCTTATCCCATCCCATCCCATCCTTATCCCCCATCCTTTATCCCATCCCCCTTATCCCATCCTTATCCCATCCTTATCCCATCCTTATCCCATCCTTATCCCATCCCATCCCATCCTTATCCCATCCTTATCCCATCCCATCCCATCCTTATCCCATCCCATCCTTATCCCACCCCATCCCATCCTTATCCCATCCCATCCCATCCTTATCCCATCCTTATCCCATCCCATCCTTATCCCATCCCATCCTTATCCCATCCCATCCTTATCCCATCCCATCCTTATCCCATCCTTATCCCATCCTTATCCCATCCTTATCCCATCCCATCCTTATCCCATCCTTATCCCATCCCATCCTTATCCCATCCTTATCCCATCCTTATCCCATCCTTATCCCATCCTTATCCCATCCTTATCCCATCCCATCCTTATCCCATCCTTATCCCATCCTTATCCCATCCCATCCCATCCTTATCCCATCCCATCCTTATCCCATCCCATCCCATCCTTATCCCATCCTTATCCCATCCTTATCCCATCCTTATCCCATCCTTATCCCATCCCATCCCATCCTTATCCCATCCTTATCCCATCCCATCCCATCCTTATCCCATCCTTATCCCATTCTTGTCCCATCCTTATCCCATCCTTGTCCCATCCTTATCCCATCCTTATCCCATCCTTATCCCATCCTTATCCCATCCTTATCCCATCCCATCCCATCCTTATCCCATCCTTATCCCATCCTTATCCCATCCTTATCCCATCCCATCCTTATCCCATCCTTATCCCATCCTTATCCCATCCTTATCCCATCCTTATCCCATCCCATCCTTATCCCATCCTTATCCCATCCTTACCCCATCCTTATCCCATTCTTGTCCCATCCTTATCCCATCCTTGTCCCATCCTTATCCCATCCTTATCCCATCCTTATCCCACCCTTATCCCATCCTTATCCCATCCTTATCCCATCCCATCCTTATCCCATCCTTATCCCATCCTTATCCCATCCTTATCCCATCCTTACCCCATCCTTATCCCACCCCATCCCATCCCATCCTTATCCCATCCTTATCCCATCCTTATCCCATCCCATCCCATCCTTATCCCATCCTTATCCCATCCTTATCCCATCCTTATCCCATCCTTATCCCATCCTTATCCCATCCTTATCCCATCCCATCCCATCCTTATCCCATCCTTATCCCATCCTTATCCCATCCTTATCCCATCCTTATCCCATCCCTATCCCATCCCATCCCATCCTTATCCCATCCCATCCTTATCCCATCCTTATCCCATCCTTATCCCATCCTTATCCCATCCTTATCCCATCCTTATCCCATCCTTATCCCATAGATCAAGCCCCGGGCTCTGCTCTTCGGCCACGCCGCCCCCGTTCCCTGCCTGGCCCCGGCCTCGGGCCCCGGGGAGCAGCCCTGCGTCGTCAGCGCCTCGGAGAGCGGGTGAGTTCCCATGGGATTCATTCATTCCCGGCCTCGGGAATTCCGCGGGGGGACCGAAATGGGAAGAGCCCCCCCCCCCCGTCCCCTCCATGCGGGGGGGGTGCGTTCCCGACAGCAGGAATTCCACCCTGGGACGGGATCCATGGGATAAAAGGGTTCTTTAAGCGCGTTCCCAGCGGGAGCAGCGTTATCCCGAGGCGTTCCCTTCGGGAATGCCGTCGTTCCCGTTTCCCCCGCTCCATAGGGAGATGTGCCTGTGGGATGTCACCGACGGCCGGTGCCTGGAGTTCACCAAGCTGGCCTGCACGCACACGGGCATCCGGGTGAGCGCTTGGAAAACCGGGAAAGGGGGGGGGGGGGGGGAAAACCCATGGGAATGCTGCCGGAAAAGGCTGGAATGCCGCCCGGCCCCGCAGTTCTACCGCCCCGCCGGCGCGGGCCACCGGGAAGGGAGGCTCCTGTGCCACGGCCATTATCCCGAAATCCTCGTGCTGGATGCGAGCAGCTTGGAGGTCCTTTATTCCTTGCTTTCCAAGATCGCTCCCGACTGGATCAGCGCCGTCAGCGTCCGGGGTAAGGATGCGCTCCGGGCTGTCCCATCCCGTCCCATCCCGTTCCGTGATCCCGGGAAGGATTTAAGCCCTCCTTGCTCTGTGTGCTGCCCCAGAGGACGCGGTGGTGGCGGTGTCCGTGTCCGGCATCCTCAAGGTCTGGATCCTGCCGTCGGAAGCGGGCCGCGGGCAGGTAAGGGGAAGGTTCCGGATCCGGGCTATTCCGGCCCTTGGGAATGCGGGATCCTCCTCTCCCGGCCTTTGGGTGCTGTTGCAACGGGCTGGCATTCCCTGGGTGCCGCTTGAACAGGGAATTCCCGCCTTTTCCTTATCCCGATCCGGCGCCTTGCCAGCAGAATTCCCAACTTTTCCCATGTTTGGGTTGGAAAACTGCTTTCTTCCTTGCTCTGCCTCATAGCTGCTGTTAATACCCAGCTATGGGGGCCCCCCCCCCCATATTCCCCCTCTTCCCATGTCCTCTTCCTCCCTTAAGGCACCGTGCCGCACATCCCAAAGGGAATGCCGCATCCCAAAGGGAACTCAGCATCCCAAAGGGAGCACCTCATCCCAAAGGGAATTTAGCATCCCAAAGGGAGCGCAGCATCCCAAAGGGACCTCAGCATCCCAAAGGGAACTCAGCATCCCAAAGGGAACTCAGCATCCCAAAGGGAACTCAGCATCCCAAAGGGAACTCAGCATCCCAAAGGGAACTCAGCATCCCAAAGGGAACTCAGCATCCCAAAGGGAACTCAGCATCCCAAAGGGAGCACAGCATCCCAAAGGGAGTGCAGCATCCCAAAGGGACCTCAGCATCCTAACGGGAACTCAGCATCCCAACGGGAACTCAGCATCCCAACGGGAACTCCGCATCCCAATGGGACCTTAGCATCCCAAAGGGAACTCAGCATCCCAATGGGAACTCAGCATCCCAAAGGGAGCGCAGCATCCCAACGGGAACTCAGCATCCCAAAGGGAGCGCAGCATCCCAACGGAAGCTCCGCATCCCAAAGGGACCTCAGCATCCCAAAGGGAATTCAGCATCCCAAAGGGAGCGCAGCATCCCAAAGGGAACTCAGCATCCCAAAGGGAACTCAGCATCCCAAAGGGAGCACAGCATCCCAAAGGGAGTGCAGCATCCCAAAGGGACCTCAGCATCCTAACGGGAACTCAGCATCCCAACGGGAACTCAGCATCCCAACGGGAACTCCGCATCCCAATGGGACCTTAGCATCCCAAAGGGAACTCAGCATCCCAATGGGAACTCAGCATCCCAAAGGGAGCGCAGCATCCCAACGGGAACTCAGCATCCCAAAGGGAGCGCAGCATCCCAACGGAAGCTCCGCATCCCAAAGGGACCTCAGCATCCCAAAGGGAATTCAGCATCCCAAAGGGAGCGCAGCATCCCAAAGGGAACTCAGCATCCCAAAGGGAACTCAGCATCCCAAAGGGAATGCTGCATCCCAGTGGGAACTCAGCATCCCAAAGGGAGCACAGCATCCCAACGGGAACACCGCATCCCAAAGGGACCTCAGCATCCCAAAGGGAACTCATCCCAATGGGAGCGCAGCATCCCAAAGGGACCTCAGCATCCCAAAGGGAGCGCAGCATCCCAAAGGGAACTCAGCATCCCAACGGGAACTCAGCATCCCAACGGGAGCTCCGCATCCCACGGGAACACAGCATCCCAACGGGAATGCAGCATCCCAATGGGAATGCAGCATCCCAATGGGAGCTCCGCATCCCAACGGGAGCTCCGCATCCCACGGGATTCCCATCTCCCATTCCCCCTAGGATCCGTCCCCGCTCTCCGAAGAGGAATCCAAGCCCATCTCGTGCCACAACTGCCGGAGCCTCTCCCGGTGTCCCTGGGCTCCCGGCTCCTTGCTCCTGGTGTGCTCCCAGTCGTGGCGGGTAGGTGCGGGCGGGGAATCCCATGGGATGCTCCGGGTCCTCATCCCAAGGCGGATCCCGCAGCTCCGTTGCTTCCCCTTTAGGTCCTGGATGCCGGGGATTATTCCCTGCTCTGCTCCGTGGGCAGCGAGAGCCGGCGGGCTTGGAGCGGGGGGGAATTCCTAGCCCCGGATCGCGTCGTTGTATGGAGCGAGGAAGGGCAGAGCTTCATCTACGCGCTGCCCGGCAGGTAGGGAATGGGGCGGCATTCCCGGGATTCCCTGTTGCTCGGGATGAGGAGCGAGGCAGGGCCGAAAGGGAGCCCCCGGGGGCTGCCGCTTGCCCTTGGAAAAGCGGATCCGTGCGGGAAGGGGGCCTCTTCCCATAGCCTGAGATGAGCTGGAAGGTGCCTCCCGTGCCACAGCATCCCCGTGGGATGAATCCCTTGGGATGCATCCCTGCTCCTTGCTTGTTCTCCCAGCTGCCTGCCCGCCAGCGAGTCCTTCCGGCGCGACGTTGGGAAAGGCGTGGAAAACCTCATCCCTCCTTCCTTGCTCCGGGTGCTGGAGAGGCCGGAGCAGGAGGTAAAACCCCGTGGATCCCTGGCTTCTGTTCCCTCTAAACCTTTGGGATCTCCCCGTTCCCTTTGGGATAGGGCGTTATCCTTCGGGAAACCCCATTGTATCCTTTGGGATCTCCCCATTCCCTTTGGGATAGGGCGTTATCCTTTGGGAAACCCTGTCGTATCCTTTGGGATCTCCCCGTTCCCTTTGGGATAGGGCGTTATCCTTCGGGAAACCCTGTCGTATCCTTTGGGATCTCCCCGTTCCCTTTGGGATAGGGCGTTATCCTTTGGGAAACCCCGCCGTATCCTTTGGGATCTCCCCGTTTGGGATAGGGCGTTATCCTTCGGGAAACCCCATCGTATCCTTTGGGATCTCCCCGTTTGGGATAGGGCGTTATCCTTCGGGAAACCCCGTTGTATCCTTTGGGATCTCCCTGTTTGGGATATGGCGTTATCCTTCGGGAAACCCCGCCGTATCCCTGTTATCCCTTTGGGCCCCGTGCTTCCCTTGCCCTCTTGCCTCCAGCAGCTCCTCATCTGCCCCCCCGTGACTGGGTTCTTCCATGGCCGGAAGCCTCGTGCTTCCCAGCTCCTCCTCCAAGGCGACTCTTCGGGAAGGCTTTCCCTATGGAGCATCCCGGATAGCCTGGAGCAGCGCGAAGGTACCGCGAGGGGACGAAGGGGGATTTGAGGGCCGGGGAGCCAGCGTTATCCATAGGGATGCCGGCTCCGCGATGGGGATCCCTCCCCTCGAGGTTGAGGAGCATCCCGAGCGGGGAGGAAGGCTCCCGGGGTTTAACCCCTTCTTCCTTCTTCTTCTTCTTCCCTCCCTCTTTGTGCTCCAGGCGCGCAGCCGACGACGTCCTTATCCCTGCAGGAAGCCTTTGATGGGCTGGAGCCTCATCCGGCCGGGATCATCGACCAGCTGAGCTCCGTTCCCAACATCCCGGAGCCCCTCAAGGTGACGGCCAGCGTCTACATCCCCGGGCAGGGCCGGCTGGTGTGCGGCCGCGACGACGGCAGCATCGTCATCGTGCCCGCCACGCAGACGGCAACCGTGCAGCTCCTGCGGGGAGAGCACGCGCTCCGAAGGGGTACGGGCACCCCAAAGGGCACCCCAAAGCAGCTCCTGGGGTCTGAGGGGGTTCTGAGCTGGGCTTTGGTCCTAAGGAGACCTTAAAGCAGGGTCTAAAGGGGGTTCAGAGCTGGGCATGGCCCTAAGGAAACCTTAAAGCAGGGTCTAAAGGGGGTTCTGAGCTGGGCATGGCCCTAAGGAGACCTTAAAGCAGGGTCTAAAGGGGGTTCAGAGCTGGGCTTTGGTCCTAAGGAGACCTTAAAGCAGGGTCTAAAGGGGGTTTTGAGCTGGGCTTTGGTCCTAAGGAGACCTTAAAGCAGGGTCTAAAGGGGGTTCTGAGCTGGGCTTTGGTCCTAAGGAAACCTTAAAGCAGGGTCTAAAGGGGGTTTTGAGCTGGGCTTTGGTCCTAAGGAAACCTTAAAGCAGGGTCTAAAGGGGGTTCAGAGCTGGGCATGGCCCTAAGGAAACCTTAAACAGGGTCTAAAGGGGGTTCTGAGCTGGGCATGGCCCTAAGGAAACCTTAAAGCAGGGTCTAAAGGGGGTTCTGAGCCGGGCATGGCCCTAAGGAGACCTTAAAGCAGGGTCTAAAGGGGGTTCTGAGCTGGGCATGGCCCTAAGGAAACCTTAAAGCAGGGTCTAAAGGGGGTTCAGAGCTGGGCATGGCCCTAAGGAAACCTTAAAGCAGGGTCTAAAGGGGGTTCGGAGCTGGGCTTTGGTCCTAAGGAGACCTTAAAGCAGGGTCTAAAGGGGGTTCTGAGCTGGGCATGGCCCTAAGGAGACCTTAAAGCAGGGTCTAAAGGGGGTTCTGAGCTGGGCTTTGGTCCTAAGGAGACCTTAAAGCAGGGTCTAAAGGGGGTTCAGAGCTGGGCTTTGGTCCTAAGGAGACCTTAAAGCAGGGTCTAAAGGGGGTTCAGAGCTGGGCTTTGGTCCTAAGGAAACCTTAAAGCAGGGTCTAAAGGGGGTTCTGAGCTGGGCATGGCCCTAAGGAAACCTTAAAGCAGGGTCTAAAGGGGGTTCTGAGCTGGGCATGGCCCTAAGGAAACCTTAAACAGGGTCTAAAGGGGGTTCGGAGCTGGGCTTTGGTCCTAAGGAGACCTTAAAGCAGGGTCTAAAGGGGGTTCGGAGCTGGGCATGGCCCTAAGGAAACCTTAAAGCAGGGTCTAAAGGGGGTTCTGAGCTGGGCATGGCCCTAAGGAGACCTTAAAGCAGGGTCTAAAGGGGGTTCAGAGCTGGGCTTTGGTCCTAAGGAGACCTTAAAGCAGGGTCTAAAGGGGGTTTTGAGCTGGGCTTTGGTCCTAAGGAAACCTTAAAGCAGGGTCTAAAGGGGGTTCAGAGCTGGGCATGGCCCTAAGGAAACCTTAAACAGGGTCTAAAGGGGGTTCTGAGCTGGGCATGGCCCTAAGGAAACCTTAAAGCAGGGTCTAAAGGGGGTTCTGAGCCGGGCATGGCCCTAAGGAGACCTTAAAGCAGGGTCTAAAGGGGGTTCTGAGCTGGGCATGGCCCTAAGGAAACCTTAAAGCAGGGTCTAAAGGGGGTTCAGAGCTGGGCATGGCCCTAAGGAAACCTTAAAGCAGGGTCTAAAGGGGGTTCGGAGCTGGGCTTTGGTCCTAAGGAGACCTTAAAGCAGGGTCTAAAGGGGGTTCTGAGCTGGGCATGGCCCTAAGGAGACCTTAAACAGGGTCTAAAGGGGGTTCTGAGCTGGGCATGGCCCTAAGGAGACCTTAAAGCAGGGTCTAAAGGGGGTTCTGAGCTGGGCTTTGGTCCTAAGGAGACCTTAAAGCAGGGTCTAAAGGGGGTTCAGAGCTGGGCTTTGGTCCTAAGGAGACCTTAAAGCAGGGTCTAAAGGGGGTTCAGAGCTGGGCTTTGGTCCTAAGGAGACCTTAAAGCAGGGTCTAAAGGGGGTTCGGAGCTGGGCATGGCCCTAAGGAAACCTTAAAGCAGGGTCTAAAGGGGGTTCAGAGCTGGGCATGGCCCTAAGGAGACCTTAAAGCAGGGTCTAAAGGGGGTTCAGAGCTGGGCATGGCCCTAAGGAGACCTTAAAGCAGGGTCTAAAGGGGGTTCAGAGCTGGGCATGGCCCTAAGGAGACCTTAAAGCAGGACCTAAAGGGGGTTCTGAGCTGGGCATGGCCCTAAGGAGACCTTAAAGCAGGGTCTAAAGGGGGTTCGGAGCTGGGCTTTGGTCCTAAGGAAACCTTAAAGCAGGGTCTAAAGGGGGTTCTGAGCCGGGCATGGCCCTAAGGAAACCTTAAAGCAGGGTCTAAAGGGGGTTCGGAGCTGGGCTTTGGTCCTAAGGAAACCTTAAAGCAGGGTCTAAAGGGGGTTCTGACCCGGGCATGGCCCTAAGGAAACCTTAAAGCAGGGTCTAAAGGGGGTTCTGAGCTGGGCATGGCCCTAAGGAAACCTTAAAGCAGGGTCTAAAGGGGGTTCTGAGCTGGGCATGGCCCTAGGGAAACCTTAAAGCAGGGTCTAAAGGGGGTTCTGAGCCGGGTGGAGCTGGGCTTTGGTCCTAAGGAGACCTTAAAGCAGGGTCTAAAGGGGGTTCGGAGCTGGGCATGGCCCTAAGGAGACCTTAAAGCAGGGTCTAAAGGGGGTTCAGGGCTGGGCATGGCCCTAAGGAAACCTTAAAGCAGGGTCTAAAGGGGGTTCGGAGCTGGGCATGGCCCTAAGGAGACCTTAAAGCAGGGTCTAAAGGGGGTTCTGAGCTGGGCATGGCCCTAAGGAGACCTTAAAGCAGGGTCTAAGGAGACCTTAAAGCAGGGTCTAAAGGGGGTTCGGAGCCCCATGGAGCAGGGCATGGCCCTAAGGAGACCTTAAAGCAGGGTCTAAAGGGGGTTCAGAGCCGGGCATGGCCCTAAGGAAACCTTAAAGCAGGGTCTAAAGGGGGTTCTGAGCTGGGCATGGTCCTAAGGAGACCTTAAAGCAGGGTCTAAAGGGGGTTCAGAGCTGGGCATGGCCCTAAGGAGACCTTAAAGCAGGGTCTAAAGGGGGTTCTGAGCTGGGCATGGCCCTAAGGAGACCTTAAAGCAGGGTCTAAAGGGGGTTCTGAGCTGGGCTTTGGTCCTAAGGAAACCTTAAAGCAGGGTCTAAAGGGGGTTCAGAGCTGGGCATGGCCCTAAGGAGACCTTAAAGCAGGGTCTAAAGGGGGTTCGGAGCTGGGCATGGCCCTAAGGAAACCTTAAAGCAGGGTCTAAAGGGGGTTCTGAGCTGGGCTTTGGTCCTAAGGAGACCTTAAAGCAGGGTCTAAAGGGGGTTCTGAGCTGGGCATGGCCCTAAGGAGACCTTAAAGCAGGGTCTAAAGGGGGTTCGGAGCTGGGCTTTGGTCCTAAGGAGACCTTAAAGCAGTGTCTAAAGGGGGTTCGGAGCTGGGCATGGCCCTAAGGAAACCTTAAAGCAGGGTCTAAAGGGGGTTCTGAGCTGGGCTTTGGTCCTAAGGAGACCTTAAACAGGGTCTAAAGGGGGTTCTGAGCTGGGCATGGCCCTAAGGAAACCTTAAACAGGGTCTAAAGGGGGTTCAGAGCTGGGCATGGCCCTAAGGAGACCTTAAAGCAGGGTCTAAAGGGGGTTCGGAGCTGGGCATGGCCCTAAGGAAACCTTAAAGCAGGGTCTAAAGGGGGTTCTGAGCTGGGCATGGCCCTAAGGAAACCTTAAAGCAGGGTCTAAAGGGGGTTCTGAGCTGGGCATGGCCCTAAGGAAACCTTAAACAGGGTCTAAAGGGGGTTCTGAGCTGGGCATGGCCCTAAGGAAACCTTAAAGCAGGGTCTAAAGGGGGTTCTGAGCTGGGCATGGCCCTAAGGAAACCTTAAAGCAGGGTCTAAAGGGGGTTCTGAGCTGGGCTTGGCCCTAAGGAAACCTTAAAGCAGGGTCTAAAGGGGGTTCAGAGCTGGGCATGGCCCTAAGGAGACCTTAAAGCAGGGTCTAAAGGGGGTTCAGAGCTGGGCATGGCCCTAAGGAGCCCTTGAAGCAGGGTCTAAAGGGGGTTCTGAGACGGGGGGAGCTGGGCTTTGGTCCTAAGGAAACCTTAAAGCAGGGTCTAAAGGGGGTTCGGAGCTGGGCATGGCCCTAAGGAGACCTTAAAGCAGGGTCTAAAGGGGGTTCTGAGCTGGGCTTTGGTCCTAAGGAGACCTTAAAGCAGGGTCTAAAGGGGGTTCAGAGCTGGGCTTTGGTCCTAAGGAGACCTTAAACAGGGTCTAAAGGGGGTTCTGAGCTGGGCTTTGGTCCTAAGGAGACCTTAAAGCAGGGTCTAAAGGGGGTTCAGAGCTGGGCATGGCCCTAAGGAAACCTTAAAGCAGGGTCTAAAGGGGGTTCGGAGCTGGGCATGGCCCTAAGGAGACCTTAAGGCAGGGTCTAAAGGGGGTTCAGAGCTGGGCATGGCCCTAAGGAAACCTTAAAGCAGGGTCTAAAGGGGGTTCGGAGCTGGGCATGGCCCTAAGGAGACCTTAAAGCAGGGTCTAAAGGGGGTTCAGAGCTGGGCATGGCCCTAAGGAGACCTTAAAGCAGGGTCTAAAGGGGGTTCTGAGCTGGGCATGGCCCTAAGGAAACCTTAAAGCAGGGTCTAAAGGGGGTTCAGAGCTGGGCTTTGGTCCTAAGGAAACCTTAAAGCAGGGTCTAAAGGGGGTTCGGAGCTGGGCATGGTCCTAAGGAGACCTTAAAGCAGGATCTAAAGGGGGTTCTGAGCCGGGGGGAGCTGGGCTTTGGTCCTAAGGAAACCTTAAAGCAGGGTCTAAAGGGGGTTTGGAGCAGGGCATGGCCCTAAGGAGACCTTAAAGCAGGGTCTAAAGGGGGTTCTGAGCTGGGCATGGCCCTAAGGAGACCTTAAAGCAGGGTCTAAAGGGGGTTCGGAGCTGGGCATGGCCCTAAGGAGACCTTAAAGCAGGACCTAAAGGGGGTTCTGAGCTGGGCATGGCCCTAAGGAGACCTTAAAGCAGGACCTAAAGGGGGTTCTGAGCTGGGCATGGCCCTAAGGAAACCTTAAAGCAGGGTCTAAAGGGGGTTCAGAGCTGGGCATGGCCCTAAGGAGACCTTAAAGCAGGGTCTAAAGGGGGTTCAGAGCTGGGCTTTGGTCCTAAGGAGACCTTAAAGCAGGACCTAAAGGGGGTTCGGAGCTGGGCATGGCCCTAAGGAAACCTTAAAGCAGGGTCTAAAGGGGGTTCTGAGCTGGGCATGGCCCTAAGGAGACCTTAAAGCAGGACCTAAAGGGGGTTCGGAGCTGGGCATGGCCCTAAGGAAACCTTAAAGCAGGACCTAAAGGGGGTTCTGAGCGGGTTGGCGCTGGGCTTGTCCCATCGCAGCCCTTGGAGGATGTTTTAGGCTCGTTCCGGCTCTTTGACCCCTGTGTTTTGTTCCCTGCTCGCCGCAGGTTGGCCCCCGCACCGCACGCTGCGCGGCCATCGCGCCCGGGTCACCTGCCTGCTGTACCCCCACCAGGTGTCGGCGCGCTACGAGCCCGGCGCCCTGCTTTCGGGGGGCCTGGATTTCGCCGTGATCCTTTGGGATCTCTTCTCCGGCGACATGAAGCATCTCTTCCTGGTGCACGGCGGTGAGATCAACCAGCTCCTGGTGCCCCCCGAGACCTGCAGCGTGAGTTCCATCCCTCGGGAATGCCGCGAGGAGGAGCCCTTAGGGATGAGCCTAACGGAGGGGCTTTCCCTGCAGGCCAGGGTGCAGCAGTGCGTGTGCTCGGTGGCCGGCGACCACTCGGTGGGGCTACTGAGCCTGCGGGAGAGGAAGTGCCTCCTCTTGGCTTCCCGGCACCTCTTCCCCATCCGAGTGATCAAGTGGAGGCCCGCCGAGGACTACCTGGTGGTGGGCTGCGCCGACGGCTCCGTCTACGTCTGGCAGATGGATACAGGTGAAGGCAGCGGGCTGGGATGCCGAGGGGATGTTGGGAAGCTCTTTGGAGGACATGGGAATGGTTCCTTTGGGATGCTCTTGGTGGCCTTCACCACGTCCCATGGGTGCCCCCCAGGAGCTCTGGACCGCTGCGTGATGGGGATAACGGCGCTGGAGATCCTGACGGCGTGCGACGAGGCCGTGCCGGCCGGCCTCGACGCCCTGGGCCACGCCGCCGTCAACCTCAAGCAGGCCATGACGCGCCGGAGCTTGGCCGCCCTCAAGAACGTGGCCCACCAGAAGCTGCAGACCTTGGCCACCAACCTCCTGGCGCCCGAGGCGGCCGACAAGGTGCGCTGGTTTTCCAGGGAATGCTGGAGTCTGGGGGGGGCCTTACACGAAGCTCCAAGGAAAAGGAGGATCGAAGACGTGAGGAGCTGGGGGTCTTCACCCTCAAACTGGTGGTGTTCACCCTCAAGTTGGTGTTGTTCACCCTAAAGTTGGTGTTCTTCACCCCAAAACTGGTGTTTGCCCCCCTAAACTGGTGTTCTTCACCCTAAAGTTGGTGTTCTTCACCCTAAAACTGGTGTTCTTCACCCTAAAGTTGGTGTTCTTCACCCTAAAACTGGTGTTCTTCACCCTAGAGTTGGTGTTCTTCACCCTAAAGCTTGTGTCTTCACCCTCAAACTGGTGTTCCCCCCCCAAAACTGCTGCTCTTCACCCTAAAGTTGGTGTTGTTCACCCTAAAGTTGGTGGTGTTCACCCTCAAACTGGTGTTCCCCCCCCAAAACTGGTGTTCTTCACCCTAAAGTTGGTGTTGTTCACCCTAAAGTTGGTGTTCTTCACCCTCAGACTGGTGTTGTTCCCCCTAAAGCTGGTGTTCTTCACCCTAAAGCTGCTGTTCTTCACCCTAAAGCTTGTGTTCTTCACCCTAAAACTGGTGTTCGCCCCCCAAAACTGGTGTTCTTCACCCTAAAGTTGGTGTTGTTCACCCTAAAACTGGTGTTCTTCACCCTCAAGTTGGTGTTCTTCACCCTCAAACTGGTGTTCCCCCCCCAAAACTGCTGTTCTTCACCCTAAAGTTGGTGTTCTTCACCCTAAAACTGGTGGTGTTCACCCTAAAGCTGCTGTTCTTCCCCTAAAGCTGCTGTTCTTCACCCTAAAACTGGTGGTGTTCCCCCTAAAGTTGGTGTTCTTCACCCTAAAGATGCTGGTTTTCACCCCAAAGCTGCTGTTCTTCACCCTAAAGCTTGTGTTCTTCACCCTAAAGCTCCTGTCCCCCCCCCTCCCTTCAAGCTCCTTTTCCTGCTTCTTTTCCAGGGGGATTTGCCCAAGTATTCCCCCAATTCCCTGACGGTCCAAGCCCTGAAGACGAGCGGGACGGACGCCGACATCCACGTGCTCTTCTTCGACGTGGAGGCCCTCATCATCCAGCTGCTGAGCGAGGAGGCCTCCCGAGCCAGCAGCACCACCACGGCTTCTCCCGAGAGCCATCCCAAAGCTTCCAGCAGCTTGGAGAAGGGAAGTTCCTTCTTGGCGAGCAAGAGAGCCGCCGTCCTCTTCCAGCAGGTCAAGGAGACCATCAAGGAGAACATCAAAGAGCATCTCCTGGATGAGGAGGAGGAAGAGGACGAAGAGGCCGTGAGGCAGAGGAGGAAGGAGGGCGCTTCCGAGTATCGCTCCGGGAAATCCAAGCCTTTAACTCTGCTGGAATCCAACCTGACCATGGATACGGCCAAGCTCTTCATGTCCTGCCTCCACGCTTGGGGCCTCGACGCCAGCCTGGACGAGCTGTGCTTGGACCGCTTGGGAATGCTGCGGCCCCACTGCGCCGTGTCCTTCGGGCTCCTCTCCCGTGGGGCCCACATGTCCCTCATGCTGCCCGGTTACAACCAAGCCCTCGGGGATGGCTCCTGCCCTCAAGGGGGCAGCGGGAAGGGCACCTATGGGGTCTCCCGCGCCGTGACCACCCAGCACCTCCTCTCCGTCATCTCCTTGGCCAACACGCTCATGGGCATGACCGACGCCACCTTCATCGGCGAGCACATGAAGAAGGGGCCCTGCAGGTAGGGACCTGGCTGCCTGGGGTTGGAACTCGGGACCTGGAGCTGCTTTTCCCAAGCTTTTCTCCTCTCTTTTTTGCCCTTTTTAGGCCACCCAGACCGGGCCCTGCCGAGAGCTCGCGAGCCAAAGCCCCCCCTGGCCCTGCAGCCCAAGGCCACATCAAGCAAGGTAAAAGGGGATGGGAGGGATCCGGGATACTCGGGAGCAGGTCCCAAAGGGGTGCCTTGCCTTGGCTTCCATGAGTAGGGCACCTTCCAATCCCCCCCGTGTGGAAGCAGCAGAGCCCAGCTCCACGCCGTTATTCCGGGCTTCCTTCTCCTCCTTGGAAGCGTTGGGTCTCCTGCCCCAGTGCTCCTCTTGCTTTACTCTTGCTGCTCTCCTCACTCGGCCTCTTGTCTTTTCTCTTCTCTTCTCTTCTCTTCCTTTCCCTGCCCTGGGCAAGGCAACCCCGAAGGTGCTCCCGACGCTGCTCCTCCTCCTTTCCATCCCTCTTTCTTAGTCAACGAAGGTATTCCTTCCCTCCTCGGTATTCCTTCCCTCCTCGGTATTCCTTCCCTCCTCCATATTCCTTCCCTCCTCGGTATTCCTTCCCTCCTCACTATTCCTTCCCTCTTCGGTATTCCTTCCCTCCTCGGTATTCCTTCACCTCCTCCGTATTCCTTCCCTCTTCGGTATTCCTTCCCTCCTCCGTATTCCTTCCCTCCTCGCTTCCTGCTTCCCACCTACCCCACACCCCCCCCGGGAGGGAGAGGACAAAGAAGGGGTTGGTGGGAGAGGAAGAGGAGGAGGAAGGAGGAGATGGCTGTGCCAGGGTGGAAAGGGCTTGGCTAGCCTATGTGTGTTGGAGAGCATCGGGGTAGTGGTGGGGTGCCCCATGAGTGGTCCAAATGCCCCTCAATGTAACCCCTTTGTAGCTCTTGGAGGCAGAATGGGGATACTACTACTAGTAGTAAGTATGCTTTGAGTATCCATAGGGCTGCCTAGGAGTAAATCCATCCTACAAGCATCTAACATGGAAACAGCTCAGCTTGGAGCCCTGAAGGGGAGCTCTTTAAGGCAGAATGGGGATACTACTACTAGTAGTAAGCATGCTTTGAGTATCCATAGGGGTGCCTAGGAGTAAATCCATCCTACAAGCATTTAACATGGAAACAGGCCTGGTTTTACCCCCGAAGGGGAGCTCTTTAAGGTAGAATGGGGATACTACTACTAGTAGTAAGTATGCTTTGAGTATCCATAGGGGTGCCTAGGAGTAAATCCATCCTACAAGCATCTAACATGGAAACAGCTCAGGTTGGAGCCCTGAAGGGGAGCTCTTTAAGGTAGAATGGGGATACTACTACTAGTAGTAAGTATGCTTTGAGTACCCATAGGGGTGCCTAGGAGTAAATCCATCCTACAAGCATCTAACATGGAAACAGGCCTGGTTTTAGCCCCGAAGGGGAGCTCTTTAAGGTAGAATGGGGATACTACTACTAGTAGTAAGTATGCTTTGAGTATCCATAGGGGTGCCTAGGAGTAAATCCATCCTCCAAGCCTCTACCATGGAAACAGGCCTGGTGGCTCCCCCCCAGCATTGAGGCTTGGCCTAGGGACGGAGTAAGCCCGTTGCAGGCAGGTTGAGGGGGCAAACAGGGCCTCCAACCCCCTTCCAACAAGACGTAGGGCAGGCCCCGGGTCGGCCTCCATCCCAACCCTCATTCCCAAGAGGAATAAGAGCGGGATAAGCCGAGCAGGCTGGGATCGGATGCTTTCCTCCTCAAGCCTTACTCCCCCCCCCCGCCCCGACCAATGGAATCCAATGGAGGTGGGATGGAGGGGGGGTGTGTGTGTGTGTCCATCCCCACCCCGCTTCCATGGTGATCCCGAGGTTTTTCCTTTGGGATGGGCGTCGGGCAGGATGGAGCCAGCTGGCCGCCATGCACTGCGTCATGCTGCCCGAGCTGCTGGGCCTGGAGCGCTTCCGCCCTCCCCTCCTGGAGATGCTGGCGCGGCGCTGGCAGGATCGCTGCTTGGAGGTGATCATTCCCCCTTCCCCTCTTCCCTAATCCCATGGGATGTGCCTTGGGAATCAAGGGGATGCTCCTTCCTTTGCTTGCCCCCACCCCAAGGTGAGAGAAGCAGCCCAAGCCCTGCTGCTCGCCGAGCTGCGCCGCATGGAGCAAGCCGGGAGGAAGGAGACCATCGACGCTTGGGCTCCCTACCTGCCCCACTACATGGACAGCGTTCTGTCCCGTGAGTCGGGAAAATCCCATGGGAAAAGCCCCCGGCCCCTCTGGGAAAAGGCCTCGGATGCATCCCCCTTCCCCTAGGAGCCCGGGGAGGTGGCTTGGCCCATAGGACGCATTCCCTGCTGCCAAGGGGCGCGGGATGCCGCAGCAGATTGGGGATGCCGCCGGAAAAGAGGGATTTGGGGAAGGAAGGAAGGGGTTTTCCCACTGGTTTTCCATGGGTTTTGCAGCCGGAGTAAGCTCGGAAGCCCCCCAGCCCGGCAGCGCCAGCCCGGAGCCCTCGGGAGCAGAAGGCAAGGCGCAGGAGGAGGAGCACGACCTGGGAGACGACGACATTCCAGCAGGTGGGCATCATCCCCAATGGAATGGGATGGGATCCCCAATGGAATGGGATGGGATCCCCAATGGGATGGGATCCCCAATGGAATGGGATGGGATCCCCAATGGAATGGGATCCCCAATGGAATGGGATCCCCAATGGAATGGGATGGGATCCCCAATGGAATGGGATCCCCAATGGGATGGGATCCCCAATGGAATGGGATCCCCAATGGAATGGGATCCCCAATGGAATGGGATCCCCAATGGAATGGGATGGGATCCCCAATGGAATGGGATCCCCAATGGAATGGGATGGGATCACCAATGGAATGGGATGGGATCCCCAATGGAATGGGATCCCCAGTGGAATGGGATGGGATCCCCAATGGAATGGGATCCCCAATGGAATGGGATCCCCAATGGAATGGGATGGGATCCCCAATGGAATGGGATCCCCAATGGAATGGGATCCCCAATGGAATGGGATGGGATCCCCAATGGAATGGGATCCCCAATGGAATGGGATCCCCAATGGAATGGGATGGGATCCCCAATGGAATGGGATCCCCAATGGAATGGGATCCCCAATGGAATGGGATGGGATCCCCAATGGAATGGGATGGGATCCCCAATGGGATGGGATCCCCAATGGAATGGGATCCCCAATGGAATGGGATGGGATCCCCAATGGAATGGGATCCCCAATGGAATGGGATCCCCAATGGAATGGGATCCCCAATGGAATGGGATGGGATCCCCAATGGAATGGGATCCCCAATGGAATGGGATCCCCAGTGGAATGGGATGGGATCCCCAATGGGATGGGATCCCCAATGGAATGGGATGGGATCCCCAATGGAATGGGATCCCCAATGGAATGGGATGGGATCCCCAATGGAATGGGATCCCCAATGGGATGGGATCCCCAATGGAATGGGATGGGATCCCCAATGGGATGGGATCCCCAATGGAATGGGATGGGATCCCCAATGGAATGGGATCCCCAATGGGATGGGATCCCCAATGGAATGGGATGGGATCCCCAATGGAATGGGATCCCCAATGGGATGGGATCCCCAATGGAATGGAATGGGATCCCTAATGGAATGGGATGGGATCCCCAATGGAATGGGATCCCCAATGGAATGGGATGGGATCCCCAATGGAATGGAATGGGATCCCCAATGGAATGGGATGGGATCCCCAATGGAATGGGATCCCCAATGGAATGGGATCCCCAATGGAATGGGATGGGCTCGGAAACGGGCCTCGAAGGCTCATTCCCAACGCCGCGCTCCGAGGGATCCTAGGAAGCCACGCGATTCCTATCGGGAGCGGTGCCCTTTCCGGGCAGTGCCAAAGGGAAAATCCCTTGGGATTGGAGCCCAGCATCCTCCAGGGGGTAGCTGCCTTTCGGCTGTTCCTGCTGCTTGGACTTTTGTCCTTCCCCTTCTCTCTTCCACTTGGAGCTCTTGGAAATCCCAATGGGAATGGGGGGGGTGAACCAGGGGGCAGCGCCGTGCTGATCCCGCAGGAAAAGCTCCTTCCATAGAGCTGATCCCAGCCTTAGAAGCTCCCCCCGGGGGGGGGCAGTTTGGCTGGAGAGCATCCTGAGGGTTAATGATGGCATTCCAGAGGCATTCCAGGCCAAAGGTGTCCTGGAATGGCGGAGAGGGAGACGGGGCTTGGAGCCAGCCTGCTCTAGTGCTAAGGTCTTTCCCAATCCAAAGCGTTCCGGGAGGCAGGAAGTGGAAGGCTGCATCCTTTGGGATGCAGTGAAGGGTTAACGTGGCTCAGGAGGCGGGATACAGGGAGCCCGGAGCAGGATTCCTGCTTGTTATTCCCTGGCACAGGCACCTAGATGGAATCCATATGGATAGCTGTTCTGTATGGATAATAGGTGTGGATATCCATTCTACAGGGATAATAGGTATGGATATCTGTTCCATAGGGGTAATACATAGGGATATCCATTCCATATGGGTAATACATAGGGATATCCATTCCATATGGGTAATACATAGGGATATCCATTCCATATGGGTAATAGATGTGGATATCCATTCTCTATGGATAATAGATGTGGATATCCATTCTATGTGGATAATAGATATGGATAGCCATTCTGTATGGATAATAGATGTGGATATCCATTCTATATGGGTAATACATAGGGATATCCATTCCATATGGGTAATACATAGGGATATCCATTCCATATGGATAATAGATGTGGATAGCCGTTCTGTATGGATAATAGATATGGATAGCCATTCCTTATGGATAATAGATATGGATAGCCATTCTATATGGATAATAGATGTGGATATCCATTCTGTATGGATAATATGGATATCCATTCTATATGGATAATAGGTATGGATATCCATTCTATATGGATAATAGATGTGGATAGCCATTCTCTATGGATAATAGATATGGATAGCCATTCTATATGGATAATAGATATGGATAACCATTCTGTATGGATAATAGATATGGATATCCATTCTATATGGATAATAGATATGGATATCCATTCTATATGGATAATAGATGTGGATATCCATTCTCTATGGATAATAGATGTGGATATCCGTTCTGTATGGATAATAGATATGGATATCCATTCTATGTGGATAATAGGTATGGATATCCGTTCTGTATGGATAATAGATGTGGATATCCATTCTCTATGGATAATAGATGTGGATATCCGTTCTCTATGGATAACAGGTATGTGTATGTATATAACCCATAGGGCTAGCTCCTCCTCGGATGGGAGTGGGGATGCTGGAGGAGCAGCTCCCATCTCCCTGCATTCCCATCCCTTCCCCGCGTGTCAGCGCGGCGGCAGCGTTGCTCCGGCCCGGAATTCCACGGCTTTTCCCGTGTGCCGCGGCTCCGTTCCCAACATCCCAACGTCCCAACGTCCCTCCCCTTGCAGGCTGCCTGCCCCAGCTCAAGAAGGCCTCCCCGTCCTACGAGGAGAGGAGGAAGCAAGCCACAGCCATCGTCCTGCTGGGAGTCATCGGGGCCGAGTTCGGAGCCGAGATTGAACCCCCCAAACTCCTGCCGCGACCCCGGAGCTCCAGCCAGATTCCCGAAGGATTTGGTTTGACCAGCGGCGGAGCCAACTATTCCCTGGCGAGGCACACGTGTGAGGATCCCAAAGCTTCCAGGGAAAAGGGGGGATTTCCCTCTGCTTTCCTAGTGGGAAAGGCATGGGGAGCATGGATCGGAGCCCAGGCTTAACCCCCTCGGTGTGTCTGCCTCTCTGCAGTGAGGTGGGATCCATCCTGTTCCACCTAAAAGAGGTTTAGATCCCATTTATCCCAGTTGGAGGCTGCCTGGCAGCATTCCCCACGCCTGGAATTGCCTTAGGGCACCCCAGGGTCATCCCAAATCTGCTTGGGAGGGAGCAAGGAGGCAGAAAGCCAAGAGGAGGATGCTCCTCAACGTAATCCTGTTAAATCCCACTGTTTATTCCCATGATGGACCGTGCTCCCAACGCAGCTGCTTCCATGGAATCCAAGCCATCCCAAGGCACCCAGTGTTCCATCGCCTTCCCCGGGTCAGCGTGGTCCATGTGCTTTCCTGAAGGAATTCGGTGGGAGGTGCACAGGATCCGTGGGATTAAGCTAGGAAAAGGGAGATTTGGATGGGGTTAAGGCAGGAGAAGGGAGATTTGGATGGGGTTAAGGCAGGAGAAGGGGGATTTGGATGGGGTTAAGGCAGGAGAAGGGAGATTTGGATGGGGTTAAGGCAGGAGAAGGGGGATTTGGATGGGGTTAAGGCAGGAGAAGGGAGATTTGGATGGGGTTAAGGCAGGAGAAGGGAGATTTGGATGGGGTTAAGCCAGGAGAAGGGAGATTTGGATGGGATTAAGGCAGGAGAAGGGGGATTTGGATGGGGTTAAGGCAGGAGAAGGGAGATTTGGATGGGGTTGAGGCAGGAGAAGGGAGATTTGGATGGGATTAAGGCAGGAGAAGGGAGATTTGGATGGGGTTAAGGCAGGAGAAGGGAGATTTGGATGGGGTTAAGGCAGGAGAAGGGAGATTTGGATGGGGTTAAGGCAGGAGAAGGGAGATTTGGATGGGGTTAAGGCAGGAGAAGGGAGATTTGGATGGGATTGAGCCAGGAGAAGGGAGATTTGGATGGGGTTAAGGCAGGAGAAGGGAGATTTGGATGGGGTTAAGGCAGGAGAAGGGAGATTTGGATGGGGTTAAGGCAGGAGAAGGGAGATTTGGATGGGGTTAAGGCAGGAGAAGGGAGATTTGGATGGGATTAAGCTAGGAGAAGGGAGATTTGGATGGGGTTAAGGCAGGAGAAGGGAGATTTGGATGGGGTTAAGGCAGGAGAAGGGAGATTTGGATGGGGTTAAGGCAGGAGAAGGGGGATTTGGATGGGGTTAAGGCAGGAGAAGGGAGATTTGGATGGGGTTAAGGCAGGAGAAGGGAGATTTGGATGGGGTTAAGGCAGGAGAAGGGAGATTTGGATGGGGTTAAGGCAGGAGAAGGGGGATTTGGATGGGGTTAAGGCAGGAGAAGGGGGATTTGGATGGGATTAAGGCAGGAAAAGGGAGATTTGGATGGGGTTAAGGCAGGAGAAGGGAGATTTGGATGGGGTTAAGGCAGGAGAAGGGAGATTTGGATGGGGTTAAGGCAGGAGAAGGGAGATTTGGATGGGGTTAAGGCAGGAGAAGGGAGGTTTGGATGGGGTTAAGGCAGGAGAAGGGAGGTTTGGATGGGGTTAAGGCAGGAGGAGGGAGATTTGGATGGGGTTAAGGCAGGAGAAGGGGGATTTGGATGGGGTTAAGGCAGGAAAAGGCATTCCTCTTCATCCTTAGCGCAGCGCGGAGAATCCCTCGGGAGAAGGAGCCGCCGTGGCCGTTCCCAGGCCGGGCCCATCCCGTAGGTGATTCCCATGGGGATTCCCTCCCTGTTATCCCAGGCAAGGCGCTGACCTTCCTGCTGCTGCAGGCGCCCAGCGCCCGCCTGCCGGCGCACAGCACCATCCGCCGCAGCGCCATCGACCTCATCGGCCGCGGCTTCACCGTCTGGGAGCCCTACATGGACGTGTCGGCCGTGCTCATGGGGCTGCTGGAGCTCTGCGCCGAGGCCGACAAGCTCTTGGCCAAGTAGGTGGGAGCCGCGCTTCCCGACGCCGGGAATACGGGGATACGGGCCGGGAGAGGGGCCCGCGTCGCCCCTGGCAACGGGGGAGGGCTTGGGTACCAAGCATCGCATCCAACGTGGCCTTGAAGGATGGGGTATCCCCAGCATCTCCTTCCAACCCATTCCAACGTCCCCATCCCTTCATAGGGATGCACTTCCCAAGATCCCATACCCTGACCTTCATCCTCATCCTCTTCCTCAGCATCACCCCTGGTGCTGCTGGTCCAGCGCTTGGGTACCAACCATCGCATCCAACGTGGCCTTGAAGGATGAAGCATCTCCTTCCAACCCATTCCAACGTCCCCATCCCCTCATAGGGATGCACTTCCCAAGATCCCATACCCTGACCTTCATCCTCATCCTCTTCCTCAGCATCACCCCTGGTGCTGCTGGTCCAGCGCTTGGGTACCAACCATCACCCATCGCATCCAACCCGGCCTTGAAGGATGAAGCATCTCCTTCCAACCCATTCCAACGTCCCATACCCCTCATAGGGATGCACTTCCCAAGATCCCATACCCTGACCTTCATCCTCATCCTCTTCCTCAGCATCACTCCTGGTGCTGCTGGTCCAGCGCTTGGGTACCAACCATCGCATCCAACGTGGCCTTGAAGGATGAAGCATCTCCTTCCAACCCATTCCAACGTCCCATACCCCTCATAGGGATGCACTTCCCAAGATCCCATACCCTGACCTTCATCCTCATCCTCAGCATCACTCCTGGTGCTGCTGGTCCAGCGCTTGGGTACCAACCATCACCCATCGCATCCAACCCGGCCTTGAAGGATGAAGCATCTCCTTCCAACCCATTCCAACGTCCCCATCCCTTCATAGGGATGCACTTCCCAAGATCCCATACCCTGACCTTCATCCTCATCCTCTTCCTCAGCATCACCCCTGGTGCTGCTGGTCCAGTGCTTGGGTACCAACCATCGCATCCAACGTGGCCTTGAAGGATGAAGCATCTCCTTCCAACCCATTCCAACGTCCCCATCCCCTCATAGGGATGCACTTCCCAAGATCCCATACCCTGACCTTCATCCTCATCCTCTTCCTCAGCATCACCCCTGGTGCTGCTGGTCCAGCGCTTGGGTACCAACCATCACCCCTCACATCCAACCCGGCCTTGAAGGATGAAGCATCTCCTTCCAACCCATTCCAACATCCCCATCCCTTCATAGGGATGCACTTCCCAAGATCCCATACCCTGACCTTCATCCTCATCCTCAGCATCACCCCTGGTGCTGCTGGTCCAGCACTTGGGTACCAACCATCACCCATCGCATCCAACCTGGCCTTGAAGGATGAAGCATCTCCTTCCAACCCATTCCAACATCCCCATCCCCTCATAGGGATGCACTTCCCCAGATCCCATACCCTGACCTTCATCCTCTTCCCCCCTCTTCCTCAGCATCACCCCGGGGCTGCCCCTGAGCCCCCCCGCCGACTCGGCCCGCTCGGCGCGCCACGCTCTGGCCCTCATCGCCACAGCCCGGCCCCCGGCCTTCATCACCACCATCGCCAAGGAGGTGAGGGGATGGAGCCCCCCGACACCCCCTTTTCCTATGGGATCCAGTGGGGGATCCCACTCGGATCCGCTCCCCTCTCGTAGGTGCACAGGCACACGGCCCTGGCTGCCAACGCTCAATCCCAGCCGAACATCCACACTTCCACCCTGGCCAGGGCCAAGGGGGAGATCCTGCGCGTCCTGGAGATCCTCATCGAGAAGATGCCCGCCGACGTGGTGGAGCTGCTGGTGGAGGTGAGCGTTCCCGGCGGGATAACGCCCTTGCTTCCCGGGAGATGGGCACTGAGCCGGCCTCGTCCCTCGCAGGTGATGGACGTCATCATGTATTGCCTCGAAGGGGCCTTAGTCAAGAAGAAAGGCCTTCAGGAATGCTTCCCGGCCATCTGCAGGTGCGCCGTTCCCTCGGGAATGCCGCCGCGGCCCACATTGATCCGATGGGATTAGGGGCTGGGAGCGAGCAAAGCGGCCCCTGTGGGAAGGGAGCTCCCATCCCAAAGCAAGCTGGGATTCCTGGAGTCTCCCGCAGGCGATTCCCGTTGTTCTGCCCCCCTGCCAGGTTCTACATGGTGAGCTACTACGAGCGGAGCCACCGCGTCGCCGTGGGAGCTCGCCACGGCTCCGTGGCCCTCTATGACATCCGCACCGGGAAGTGCCAGGTAACCCGTGGAATTCCAGGCTTTTCTGCCTGGAAGTGAATGGGAAGAGCCGCGCTCGGAGCTTGCCGCTCGCATCCGCGGGGGACGCCGCGTGCCTCTTCTGCAGCCTCGTTTCCCAAAGAGATCCCGCTTTTAGGTCTTCCTTTTCCACATCCGTCTCCTTCCCGGTGCTTGGCATGCAGCAAGGCTGGGATTCATCTGTTTTCCAGCCGTTTTCCAAGCTCCCTGCCCTTCCCATGGAAGCATGGATGTGCCCTGCAGCCGGGAGCACCCAGGGCCTCGCTCTGCAGCTCCCCGTTGCCTCCAGCTCCGGCTTTCCCACAGCGGCATTCCCAAGCCGACACTTCCTGCTCCAGGGCTCTGGAAGCCCTTGGATCGGGCTGGAGAGGACAGGGGTGTTAAACAGGGGGGGCCCTATGGTGCCTGGGGGCTGTTTTCCATAGGGATGCGCTCCAAAGGAGCCTTGCAGCGCCGGACGGCATTCCTTGCTCTTTCCTTCTCTTCCCAGACTATCCATGGCCACAAAGGGCCCATAACTGCAGTGGCTTTCGCGCCCGATGGAAGGTACCTGGCCACCTACTCCAACTCCGACAGCCACCTCTGCTTCTGGCAGGTAAGGGGGGATCCATCCGGGTGGCCACCGAGGTCCACAGCACGGTGAGATGGGAGCGGGTCCGGGATGGAGATGGGAGCGGGTCCAGGATGGAGATGGGAGCGGGTCCGGGATGGAGATGGGAGCGGGTCCAGGATGGAGATGGGAGCGGGTCCGGGATGGAGATGGGAGCGGGTCCAGGATGGAGATGGGAGCGGGTCCAGGATGGAGATGGGAGCAGGTCCAGGATGGAGGTGGGAGCAGCTCCATGTTGGAGATGGGAGCAGGTCCTGGTTGGAGATGGGAGCGGGTCCAGGATGGAGATGGGAGCAGGTCCAGGATGGAGATGGGAGCGGGTCCGGGATGGAGATGGGAGCCGGTCCTGGTTGGAGATGGGAGCGGGTCCAGGATGGAGATGGGAGCGGGTCCAGGATGGAGATGGGAGCGGGTCCGGGTTGGAGATGGGAGCGGGTCCGGGTTGGAGATGGGAGCGGGTCCGGGTTGGAGATGGGAGCGGGTCCAGGATGGAGATGGGAGCGGGTCCAGGATGGAGATGGGAGCGGGTCCAGGATGGAGATGGGAGCGGGTCCAGGATGGAGATGGGAGCGGGTCCGGGTTGGAGATGGGAGCGGGTCCAGGTTGGAGATGGGAGCGGGTCCAGGATGGAGATGGGAGCGGGTCCGGGATGGAGATGGGAGCGGGTCCGGGATGGAGATGGGAGCGGGTCCGGGATGGAGATGGGAGCGGGTCCTGGTTGGAGATGGGAGCGGGTCCTGGTTGGAGATGGGAGCGGGTCCTGGTTGGAGATGGGAGCGGGTCCAGGATGGAGATGGGAGCGGGTCCAGGATGGAGATGGGACTTGCTCCATGTTGGAGACGGGAGCAGCTCCATGTTGGAGATGGGAGCAGCTCCATGTTGGAGACGGGAGCAGCTCCATGTTGGAGATGGGAGCAGCTCCATGTTGGAGATGGGACTTGCTCCATGTTGGAGATGGGAGCAGCTCCATGTTGGAGATGGGAGCAGCTCCATGTTGGAGACGGGAGCAGCTCCATGTTGGAGACGGGAGCAGCTCCATGTTGGAGACGGGATCAGCTCCATGTTGGAGATGGGAGCAGCTCCATGTTGGAGACGGGAGCAGCTCCATGTTGGAGATGGGACTTGCTCCATGTTGGAGACGGGAGCAGCTCCATGTTGGAGACGGGAGCAGCTCCATGTTGGAGATGGGAGCAGCTCCATGTTGGAGATGGGAGCAGCTCCATGTTGGAGATGGGACTTGCTCCATGTTGGAGATGGGAGCAGCTCCATGTTGGAGATGGGACTTGCTCCATGTTGGAGATGGGAGCAGCTCCATGTTGGAGATGGGACTTGCTCCATGTTGGAGACGGGAGCAGCTCCATGTTGGAGATGGGAGCAGCTCCATGTTGGAGATGGGAGCAGCTCCATGTTGGAGATGGGACTTGCTCCATGTTGGAGATGGGAGCAGCTCCATGTTGGAGATGGGAGCAGCTCCATGTTGGAGATGGGACTCGCTCCATGTTGGAGATGGGAGCAGCTCCATGTTGGAGACGGGAGCAGCTCCATGTTGGAGATGGGAGCAGCTCCATGTTGGAGACGGGAGCAGCTCCATGTTGGAGACGGGAGCAGCTCCATGTTGGAGACGGGAGCAGCTCCATGTTGGAGACGGGATCAGCTCCATGTTGGAGATGGGAGCAGCTCCATGTTGGAGACGGGAGCAGCTCCATGTTGGAGATGGGACTTGCTCCATGTTGGAGACGGGAGCAGCTCCATGTTGGAGACGGGAGCAGCTCCATGTTGGAGATGGGAGCAGCTCCATGTTGGAGATGGGAGCAGCTCCATGTTGGAGATGGGACTTGCTCCATGTTGGAGATGGGAGCAGCTCCATGTTGGAGATGGGACTTGCTCCATGTTGGAGATGGGAGCAGCTCCATGTTGGAGATGGGACTTGCTCCATGTTGGAGACGGGAGCAGCTCCATGTTGGAGATGGGAGCAGCTCCATGTTGGAGATGGGAGCAGCTCCATGTTGGAGATGGGACTTGCTCCATGTTGGAGATGGGAGCAGCTCCATGTTGGAGATGGGAGCAGCTCCATGTTGGAGATGGGACTCGCTCCATGTTGGAGATGGGAGCAGCTCCATGTTGGAGACGGGAGCAGCTCCATGTTGGAGACGGGAGCAGCTCCATGTTGGAGACGGGAGCAGCTCCATGTTGGAGATGGGATCAGCTCCATGTTGGAGATGGGATCAGCTCCATGTTGGAGACGGGAGCAGCTCCATGTTGGAGACGGGAGCAGCTCCATGTTGGAGATGGGACTTGCTCCATGTTGGAGATGGGAGCAGCTCCATGTTGGAGATGGGAGCAGCTCCATGTTGGAGACGGGAGCAGCTCCATGTTGGAGATGGGAGCAGCTCCATGTTGGAGACGGGACTTGCTCCATGTTGGAGATGGGAGCAGCTCCCTGTTGGAGACGGGAGCAGCTCCATGTTGGAGACGGGAGCAGCTCCATGTTGGAGATGGGAGCAGCTCCATGTTGGAGACGGGACTTGCTCCATGTTGGAGATGGGAGCAGCTCCCTGTTGGAGATGGGAGCAGCTCCATGTTGGAGACGGGAGCAGCTCCATGTTGGAGACGGGAGCAGCTCCATGTTGGAGACGGGAGCAGCTCCATGTTGGAGATGGGACTTGCTCCATGTTGGAGACGGGAGCAGCTCCATGTTGGAGACGGGAGCAGCTCCATGTTGGAGACGGGAGCAGCTCCATGTTGGAGCTGAGCACCTCCATCCACCACGGCTCTCCTTGCAGATGAACACATCCCTGTTGGGAAGCATTGGAATGCTGAACTCGGCCCCCCAGCTCCGCTGCATCAAGACCTACCAGGTCCCCCCCGTGCAGCCGGCCTCGCCGGGCTCCCACACCGCCCTCAAGCTGGCCCGCCTCATCTGGACTTCCAATAGGAACGTCATCCTCATGGCGCACGACGGCAAGGAGCATCGCTTCATGGTCTGAGGTACCCCCCCCATCACCATTCCCGATGGATCTCCAGCCTTCCCGACGCTCCCGAACGCCTCCCGGTGCACCCGGGCACCGCGCTCCTTGGGACGGCAGGAGGAGCTCATCCCAACGCGTTTCCAAGCCCCGTTGCCTCGGGAGCCTCGTCCCAACCGCTTCCCCTTTCCAGGCGCTCGGGAATGATGGGATGGGAAGAGCTTGCCTTGGATGCGCCCATCCGAAGGGGATGTTCCCTCTCCGGAGAGACTTGGAAGTGCTTCCGAAATCCCTCAAAGAGGGGGGGGGAAGGAAAAGAGGGAATATTTGTGTCTCCGGGTGTTTTCCCAGGTAGCGGTTGGAGCACGGAGGCCGAGGGAAGTGGTTGGAAGAGCTCCAGGGAAGCGCTTCGCTTCCATCGGGATGATCCCGGTTCCCTTGAGGCGGCGCTGGGATCTTCTCCTCCCGTCGCTCCCGGCTTCCCGTGGCTTGCTCCAGGTTTAGGACTATGGAAAACTCTTCCTTAAAGCATCCCGCAGCTTTTCCTGGCTGGGAAAACTCCTGGAATTCCGGCGTTGTCTCCATGAGCGAGGCAAAAAAAAGCTCCTTGGAAGACCCCGACTCCATGAGCTTCCATTGCTTTGGCATTCCGGAGCTTCTCCCGTTGCTCCCTCCCTCGTTGGCGTCGGGAAGCGCCTCCCGAGTTCCATAGGGAAGGAAGGAAGCCCGTTGGGAATGCTTTGGCCCCGCCTGGCAGCAAGCTGGATCCCTATAGGAGACTCTTCCCCACATCCCCCTATGCGTGTCTATGGTGTGGGGCCAGATCCGTGTTATCCCCTCCGAGCTGCACCCCCCCCGTATCCATCCAAAAAAGCTGGAATTCCCTGTAGGGAAGCGTGCCCCACGGTAGGTACCCAGTGCCCATCCCGGTGGCATCCGGCCTGGAGCTGCCTTCCCTGTGGTGTTCCCATTGCTTCCAGGCGCATCCCAGTGCCCATCCCGGTGGCATCCGGGCTGGAGCTGCCTTCCCTGTGGTGTTCCCATTGCTTCCAGGCGCATCCCAGTGCCCATCCCGGTGGCATCCGGGCTGGAGCTGCCTTCCCTGTGGTGTTCCCATTGCTTCCAGGCGCATCCCAGTGCCCATCCCGGTGGCATCGGGGCTGGAGCTGCTTCCCCACGCTGTTCCCATTGCTTCCAGGCGCATCCCGGTGCCCATCCCGGTGGCATCCGGGCTGGAGCTGCCTTCCCTGTGGTGTTCCCATTGCTTCCAGGCGCATCCCAGTGCCCATCCCGGTGGCATCCGGGCTGGAGCTGCCTTCCCTGTGGTGTTCCCATTGCTTCCAGGCCCATCCCGGTGCCCATCCCGGTGGCATCCGGGCTGGAGCTGCCTTCCCTGTGGTGTTCCCATTGCTTCCAGGCGCATCCCAGTGCCCATCCCGGTGGCATCCGGCCTGGAGCTGCCTTCCCTGTGGTGTTCCCATTGCTTCCAGGCGCATCCCGGTGCCCATCCCGGTGGCATCGGGGCTGGAGCTGCCTTCCCCACGCTGTTCCCTGTGGTGTTCCCATTGCTTCCAGGCGCATCCCAGTGCCCATCCCGGTGGCATCCGGGCTGGAGCTGCCTTCCCTGTGGTGTTCCCATTGCTTCCAGGCGCATCCCGGTGCCCATCCCGGTGGCATCTGGCCTGGAGCTGCCTTCCCTGTGGTGTTCCCATTGCTTCCAGGCGCATCCCGGTGCCCATCCCGGTGGCATCCGGGCTGGAGCTGCCTTCCCTGTGGTGTTCCCATTGCTTCCAGGCGCATCCCGGTGCCCATCCCGGTGGCATCCGGGCTGGAGCTGCCTTCCCTGTGGTGTTCCCATTGCTTCCAGGCGCATCCCGGTGCCCATCCCGGTGGCATCCGGGCTGGAGCTGCCTTCCCCACGCTGTTCCCATTGCTTCCAGGCACATCCCATTGCCCATCCCGGTGGCATCCGGGCTGGAGCTGCCTTCCCTGTGGTGTTCCCATTGCTTCCAGGCGCATCCCGGTGCCCATCCCGGTGGCATCCGGGCTGGAGCTGCCTTCCCCGTGCTGTTCCCATTGCTTCCAGGCCCATCCCGGTGGCATCCGGGCTGGAGCTGCCTTCCCTGTGGTGTTCCCATTGCTTCCAGGCGCATCCCGGTGCCCATCCCGGTGGCATCCGGCCTGGAGCTGCCTTCCCTGTGGTGTTCCCATTGCTTCCAGGCGCATCCCGGTGCCCATCCCGGTGGCATCCGGGCTGGAGCTGCCTTCCCTGTGGTGTTCCCATTGCTTCCAGGCGCATCCCAGTGCCCATCCCGGTGGCATCCGGCCTGGAGCTGCCTTCCCTGTGGTGTTCCCATTGCTTCCAGGCCCATCCCGGTGGCATCCGGGCTGGAGCTGCCTTCCCTGTGGTGTTCCCATTGCTTCCAGGCGCATCCTGGTGCCCATCCCGGTGGCATCCGGGCTGGAGCTGCCTTCCCTGTGGTGTTCCCATTGCTTCCAGGCGCATCCTGGTGCCCATCCCGGTGGCATCCGGGCTGGAGCTGCCTTCCCTGTGGTGTTCCCATTGCTTCCAGGCGCATCCCAGTGCCCATCCCGGTGGCATCCGGGCTGGAGCTGCCTTCCCTGTGGTGTTCCCATTGCTTCCAGGCGCATCCCGGTGCCCATCCCGGTGGCATCCAGGCTGGAGCTGCCTTCCCTGTGGTGTTCCCATTGCTTCCAGGCGCATCCTGGTGCCCATCCCGGTGGCATCCGGGCTGGAGCTGCCTTCCCTGTGGTGTTCCCATTGCTTCCAGGCGCATCCTGGTGCCCATCCCGGTGGCATCCGGGCTGGAGCTGCCTTCCCTGTGGTGTTCCCATTGCTTCCAGGCGCATCCCGGTGCCCATCCCGGTGGCATCCGGCCTGGAGCTGCCTTCCCTGTGGTGTTCCCATTGCTTCCAGGCCCATCCCGGTGCCCATCCCGGTGGCATCGGGGCTGGAGCTGCCTTCCCTGTGGTGTTCCCATTGCTTCCAGGCGCATCCCGGTGCCCATCCCGGTGGCATCCAGGCTGGAGCTGCCTTCCCTGTGGTGTTCCCATTGCTTCCAGGCGCATCCCGGTGCCCATCCCGGTGGCATCCGGCCTGGAGCTGCCTTCCCTGTGGTGTTCCCATTGCTTCCAGGCGCATCCCGGTGCCCATCCCGGTGGCATCCGGGCTGGAGCTGCCTTCCCTGTGGTGTTCCCATTGCTTCCAGGCGCATCCCAGTGCCCATCCCGGTGGCATCCGGCCTGGAGCTGCCTTCCCCACGCTGTTCCCAGTGCTTCCAGGCGCATCCCGGTGCCCATCCCGGTGGCATCCGGCCTGGAGCTGCCTTCCCTGTGGTGTTCCCATTGCTTCCAGGCGCATCCCGGTGTAAGTGCTCGCTTCCGAGGGCACGGAGGGCGGGAAGCTCCAGGATTTGGGAATGCTCCTCCAGCCCCATCCGCAATTCCTGCCTCTCCGTGCGTGGATCTCGCTGTATTTGGGGGGGGAATAAAGGCTGCATGTGTGGGGCAAACGTTGCCTTCGTGTTATTCCCGCTGGGAAAAGGGGCTGGCACCTCCTCTCTTCCCACTTTTCCAATGGCCACGGCTTCATCCGCCGGGATACAGAGCTGTTTCCCCATCCCGGATCCATGCTCTTCCCGTGGAGCTCGGAAGTCCCTAGGGAAGGCTCTTGGAGGACAGGGACCCCATTCCCACCCCTGGGAATGATGGCTCCCCCCTGCTCCGGAGCCCATAGGGCCAAAAGGGGGGAGCCGGGAAGAGGGGCTTTGGCTCTGGGATGAAGGCTCCGGAGCAGCGGGAATGATCCCGTTGGGCATTGGGGTTAATGGGGGGCATTGGGGTTAATGGGGGGCATTGGGGTTAATGGGGGACATTGGGGTTAATGGGGGGGGATTGGGGCTAATGGGGGGGCATTGGGGCTAATGGAGGGGGCATTGGGGCTAATGGGCGGGCATTGGGGCTAATGGGGGGCATTGGGGCTAATGGGGGGGCACAGTGGGGCTAACAGGGGATGCACTGGGCTTAATGGGGAGGGCATTGGGGCTAATGGGGTGACATTGGAGTTAATGGGGTGCATTGAGGCTAATGGGGGGGCATTGGGGCTAATGGGGGATGCACTGGGCTTAATGGGGGGGGCACTGAGGCTAATGGGGTGCATTGGGCTTAATGGAGGGGCTCAGTGGGGCTAATGGGGGGGGCATTGGGGCTAATGGGGGGTCAATGGGTTAATGGGGAGGGCATTGGGCTTAATGGGGAGGGCATTGGGGTTAATGGGGGGGCACTGGGGATAATGGGGGGGCACTGGGGATAATAGGGGGGCGCAGTGGGGCTAATGGGGGGGCATTGGGGTTAATGGGGAGGGCATTGGGGCTAATGGGGGGCAATGGGGCAAATGGGGGGGGATTAGGGCTAATGGGAGGGCATTGAGGCTAATGGAAGAGCATTGGGGATAATGGGGGGGCACAGTGGGGTAATGGGGGGACATTGGGGCTAATGGGGGGGCATTGGGGCTAATGGGGGGCATTGGGTTTAATGGAGGAGCACACAGGGGCTAATGGGGGGCATAGGGCTTAATGGAGGGGCTCAGTGGGGCTAATGGGGGGGCATTGGGGCTAATGGGAAGGGCACTGGGCTTAATGGAGGGGCACACTGGGGCTAATAGGGGGGCAATGGGCTTAATGGGGGGGCATTGGGGCTAATGGGGGATGCACTGGGCTTAATGGGGAGGGCACTGGGGGTAATGGGGGTACATTGGGGCTAATGGGAGGCATTGGGGTTAATGAGAGGGAACTGGGCTTAATGAGGGGGGCATTGGGGCTAATGGGAAGGGTATTAGGGCTAATGGGGGGGCACTGGGGCTAATGGGGGGTCATTGGGGTTAAGGGGGGGCACTGGGGTTAATGGGGGGGTCAATGGGCTTAATGAGGGGGGCATTGGGGCTAATGGGGGGGCAATGGGCTTGATGGGGGGCATTTGGGCTAATGGGGGGGCATTGGGGCTAATGGAGGGGCTCAGTGGGGCTAATGGGGGGACATTGGGGCTAATGGGGGGCACTGGGCTTAATGGGAAGGGCACTGGGCTTAATGGAGGGGCACACTGGGGCTAATAGGGGGGCAATGGGCTTAATGGGGAGGCATTGGGGCTAATGGGGGGGCACTGGGCTTAATGGAGGGGCACACTGGGGGTAATGGGGGGCATTGGGGTTAATGAGGGGAGCATTGGGCTTAATGGGGAGGGCATTGGGGCTAATGGGGGGGCACTGGGGCTAATGGGGGTGCCCTGGGCTTAATGGGGGGGCATTGGGGCTAATGGGGGGGCATTGGGGTTAATGGGGGGGCACACTGGGGCTAATGGAGGGGTATTGGGCTTAATGGGGGGGGCATTGGGGTTAATGGGGGGCATTGGGGTTAATGGGGGGCATTGGGGCTAATGGGAGGGCATTGGGGCTAATGGAGGGGCACACTGGGGCTAGTGGGGGGCATTGGGGCTAATGGGGGGGCAATGGGCTTAATGAGGAGGGCATTGGGGCTAATGGAGGGGCATTGGGGCTAATGGGGGGCATTGGGGTTAATGGGGGGGCATTGGGGTTAATGGGGGGCATTGGGGCTAATGTAGAGGCATTGGGGCTAATGGGGGGCATTGGGGTTAATGGGGGATGCACTGGGTTTAATGGGGAGGGCACTGGGCTTAATGGAGGAGCACACTGGGGGTAATGGGGGGCATTGGGGCTAATGGGAGGCATTGGGGTTAATGGGAAGGGTATTAGGGCTTAATGGGGCGGCATTGGGGTTAATGAGAGGGAACTGGGCTTAATGAGGGGGGCATTGGGGCTAATGGGAAGGGTATTAGGGCTAATGGGGGGGCATTGGGGCTAATGGGGGGACATTGGGGTTAAGGGGGGGCACTGGGGTTAATGGGGGGGTCAATGGGCTTAATGAGGGGGGCATTGGGGCTAATAGGGGTGCACTGGGCTTGATGGGGGGGCATACTGGGGCTAATGGGGGGGCAATGGGCTTAATGGGGGGGCATTGGGGCCAATGGGGAGGGCATTGGGGCTAATGGGGTGCATTGAGGCTAATGGGGGGGCACTGGGGATAATGGGGGGCACAGTGTGGTAATGAGGGGACATTGGGGCTAATAGGGTGGGCATTGGGGTAATGGGGAGGTCATTGGGGCTAATGGGGGGGCATTGGGGCTAAATGGAGGTCATTGGGACTAATGGGGGGCATTGGGGTTAATGGGGGGGCATTGGGGCCAATGGGAGGGCATTGGGCTTAATGGGAAGGGTATTAGGGCTAATGGGGGGGCATTGGGCTTAATGGGGGGGCATTGGGGCTAATGGGGGGGCATTGGGCTTAATGGGAAGGGTATTAGGGCTAATGGGGGGGGCATTAGGGTTAATGGGGGGGGCATTGGGGCTAATGGGGTGCACTGGGTTTAATGGGGAGCCCATTGGGTTTAACGGGGGCTGGCCCCGGGGGGGGGGCGTCGCAACCTCGTGGCCGTTGCCGGCGCCGTCCCCGCGCCGTTCCCGTTCCTTCCCGGCTGCCATTTCCCCTCCCTCCTTCCTCCTCCTCCTCCTCCTCCTCCTCCTCCTCCCGTCCATTTTCCGCTCGGCTCCCGTTGGAATCGGCTCCCATGTAACGGGGTGGGTGCCGTGTCCGTGCCCCCCCTGTCCCCGGGCCGCAGCATGCGGAGCTGCAGGATGCTGCGCCTCGCCAGCGTGCTGGGGCTCGTCATGCTCAGCATCGCCCTCCTCATCCTCTCGCTGCTCAGCTACGCGGCCCTGCGCAAGGACAGCGCCTTCGGGCCCCCCCGCGCCGCCGGCCCCCGCATGTACATGTTCCAGGCGGGATTCAGGTGAGCAGGAGACCCTTGGATCATCCCCCTCCCCCCCCATCATCACCATCATCATCATCATCATCATCATCACCATCATCATCATCACCATCATCACCATCATCATCATCATCATCATCACCATCATCATCATCATCATCATCATCATCACCATCACCATCACCATCATCATCATCGCCAGCACCACCGTGTGCGGTGTTGGCACCGCGGGGGATAATGGGGGAGCAAGGGGGGGGGGAATCGGTACCAGCCGGCCTGGCTTGGGGCATCCCGGTGCATCCTGACCCTGTCTATCCCAGTGCATCCCATTGCATCCCGCCCCCATCTATCCCAGTGCATCCCAATGTATCCCAATGCATCCCGATGCATCCCGGTGCATCCCAACCCCATCTATCCCAGTGCACCCCAATGCATCCCGGTGCATCCCGATGCATTCCAACCCCATCTATCCCAGTGCATCCCAGTGCATCCCAATGCATCCTGGTGCATCCCGATGCATCCCAACCCCATCTATCCCAGTGCATCCCAATGCATCCCGGTGCATCCTGATGCATTCCAACCCCATCTATCCCAGTGCATCCCGGTGCATCCCGCTGCATCCCAACCCCATCTATCCCAGTGCATCCCAATGCATCCCGGTGCATCCCGCTGCATCCCAATGCATCCCAACCCCATCTATCCCAGTGCATCCCAATGCATCCCGGTGCATCCCAACCCCATCTATCCCAGTGCATCCCAGTGCATCCCAATGCATCCCAATGCATCCTAGAGCATCCCAGTGCATCCCAATGCATCCCAGTGCATCCCAATGCATCCCGGTGCATCCCAATGCATCCCAGTGCATCCCGGTGCATCCCAATGCATCCCAGTGCATCCCGGTGCATCCCAGTGCATCCCAGTGCATCCCAATGCATCCCAATGCATCCTGGTGCATCCCGCCCCCATCTATCCCAGTGCATCCCACTGCCTCCCAATGCATCCCGATGCATCCCGATGCATCCCAACCCCATCTATCCCAGTGCATCCCAGTGCATCCCAATGCATCCCGGTGCCTCCCAACCCCATCTATCCCAGTGCATCCCGCTGCATCCCGCTGCATCCCGCTGCATCCCAACCCCATCTATCCCAGTGCATCCCAATGCATCCCGGTGCATCCCAACCCCATCTATCCCAGTGCATCCCAATGCATCCCGATGCATCCCGATGCATCCCAACCCCATCTATCCCAGTGCATCCCAGTGCATCCCAATGCATCCCAACCCCATCTATCCCAGTGCATCCCAGTGCATCCCGCTGCATCCCGCCCCGCCTCCCCCAGCCTATCCCTGCGCGGGCGCTGTCCGTGGTGCTGAAGGGCCGCTACCGCATCCCTGCTCCCGCTTCCCCAGGTCCCAGTTCGCGCTCAAGTTCCTGGACCCCTCCTTTGTCCCCATCACCCATTCCCTGAGCCAGGAGCTGCAGGAGAAGCCCTCCAAGTGGGTCTTCAACCGGACGGCCTTCGCCCAGCAGAGGTGAGCCCTGCATCCCCCCCTTCCCCCGGGGTCCCCTTCCGTCCTCCCCTTGGGTTCGCCCATCCTAAAAGGCTTTTCCGCGCTGGAGGATGCCTGGAGCCTCAACCGGAGCTGCTGATTCCATCCGTCCATGGGATCCGTGGGCATCCAATGGGATCCCATGGGATCCGTTACCCATCAAACCACCCCCCCCCCCCCCAAAAATGGAGACTGGAATTGTGTCCTCCCAAACGCCTCGGGCCATCCGTGCCGATGGGAATGAGCAGAGGATGTGGCTGGTGGGCCAGAAGGAAGGCTAGCCAATGGGATCTTGGTTGTTGAGGTTGGACCATGCTGGTGGGTCAGAAGGAAGGCTAGCCAATGGGATCTTGGTTGGTCAACTTGGATCATGCTGGTGGGTCAGAAGGAAGGCTAGCCAATGGGATCTTGGTTGGTCAACTTGGACCATGCTGGTGGGCCAGAAGGAAGGCTAGCCAATGGGATCTTGGTTGGTCAACTTGGATCATGCTGGTGGGTCAGAAGGAAGGCTAGCCAATGGGATCTTGGTTGGTCAACTTGGACCATGCTGGTGGGCCAGAAGGAAGGCTAGCCAATGGGATCTTGGTCGTTGGGCTTGGACCATGCTGGTGGGCCAGAAGGAAGGCTAGCCAATGGGATCTTGGTCGGTCAGCTTGGACCATGCTGGTGGGTCGGAAGGAAGGCTAGCCAATGGGATCTTGGTTGGTCAGCTTGGACCATGCTGGTGGGCCAGAAGGAAGGCTAGCCAATGGGATCTTGGTCGTTGAGCTTGGATCATGCTGGTGGGTCAGAAGGAAGGCTAGCCAATGGGATCTTGGTCGGTCAGCTTGGACCATGCTGATGGGCCAGAAGGAAGGCTAGCCAATGGGATCTTGGTCGTTGAGCTTGAACCATGCTGGTGGGTCAGAAGGAAGGCTAGCCAATGGGATCTTGGTTGGTCAACTTGGATCATGCTGGTGGGCCAGAAGGAAGGCTAGCCAATGGGATCTTGGTCGTTGAGCTTGGACCATGCTGGTGGGCCAGAAGGAAGGCTAGCCAATGGGATCTTGGTCGTTGGGCTTGGACCATGCTGGTGGGCCAGAAGGAAGGCTAGCCAATGGGATCTTGGTCGTTGAGCTTGGACCATGCTGGTGGGTCAGAAGGAAGGCTAGCCAATGGGATCTTGGTTGGTCAACTTGGATCATGCTGGTGGGTCAGAAGGAAGGCTAGCCAATGGGATCTTGGTTGTTGAGCTTGGACCATGCTGGTGGGCCAGAAGGAAGGCTAGCCAATGGGATCTTGGTTGCTGAGCCTGGACCATGCTGGTGGGCCAGAAGGAAGGCTAGCCAATAGGATCTTGGTCGTTGAGTTTGAACCATGCTGGTGGGTCAGAAGGAAGGCTAGCCAATGGGATCTTGGTCGTTGGGCTTGGACCATGCTGGTGGGCCAGAAGGAAGGCTAGCCAATGGGATCTTGGTTGGTCAACTTGGATCATGCTGGTGGGCCAGAAGGAAGGCTAGCCAATGGGATCTTGGTCGTTGAGCTTGGACCATGCTGGTGGGTCGGAAGGAAGGCTAGCCAATGGGATCTTGGTTGGTCAACTTGGATCATGCTGGTGGGCCGGAAGGAAGGCTAGCCAATGGGATCTCGGTCGGTCAGCTTGGACCATGCTGGTGGGTCGGAAGGAAGGCTAGCCAATGGGATCTTGGTCGTTGAGCCTGGACCATGCTGGTGGGTCGGAAGGAAGGCTAGCCAATGGGATCTTGGTCGTTGAGCCTGGACCATGCTGGTGGGCCAGAAGGAAGGCTAGCCAATGGGATCTTGGTCGGTCAACTTGGATCATGCTGGTGGGTCAGAAGGAAGGCTAGCCAATGGGACCTTGGTCGTTGAGCCTGGACCATGCTGGTGGGTCAGAAGGAAGGCTAGCCAATGGGATCCTGCTCGTTGAGCTTGGGCCGCGTTTCCCCCTGGATCGATGATGGAGAAAGGGAAGTTCGGGTGGCAAAGGGGTGGGAAGAGGGGAATGAGCTCCCCGTTTGCCTCTCGCTGCAGGCAGGAGATCCTCCAGCACGTGGACGTCATCCAGAACTTCTCGCTGACCAAGAGCCGCGTGCGCATCGGGCAGCTCCTGCACTACGACTACTCGAGCCACAAGTACGTCTTCTCGGTGAGCGCCAACTTCCGCTCGCTGCTTCCCGACGCCTCCCCCGTGCTGGACAAGCACTACAACACCTGCGCCGTGGTGGGGAACGGCGGGATCCTCACCGGGAGCCGCTGCGGCCGCGCCATCGACGCCGCCGACTTCGTCTTCCGCTGCAACTTCGCGCCCACCGAGGCCTTCCAGCGGGACGTGGGCCGGAAGACCAACCTGACCACCTTCAACCCCAGCATCCTGGAGAAGTACTACAACAACCTGCTCACCATCCAGGACCGCAACAACTTCTTCCTGAGCCTCCAGAAGCTCGACGGGGCCATCCTGTGGATCCCGGCTTTCTTCTTCCACACCTCGGCCACCGTCACCCGGACCTTGGTGGACTTCTTTGTGGAGCACCGCGGGCAGCTCAAGGTGCAGCTGGCGTGGCCGGGCAACATCATGCAGCACGTCAACAGGTACGGGCTGGAGGGGTTGGCTTGGCTTGGCTTGGCTTGAACCCCCTTGCTTCCATGGGGAATTGCTTCCGGAAGGCCTTCCCATCGCCGTTGCTGTGGGTTAGTGGTGGGATGAGGAGGGAATGGTTCGATTTGGGCTTTCCCAACCTTTCCCAATGTTTCCCAAACTTTTCCAACCTTTCCCAACCTTTTCCAACCTTTCCCAATATTTCCCAAACTTTTCCAACCTTTCCCAACCTTTTCCAACCTTTCCCAACCGGTTCCAACCTTTTCAAACCCTTTTTCATCCTTTTCCAACCTTTCCCAATCTTTTCTAACCTTTCCCAACCTTTCCCAATCTGTTCCAACCTTTCCCACCTTTCCCAACCTGTTCCAACATTTTCAAACCCTTTTCCATCCTTTTACAACTTTTCCAAACCTTTCCCAATGTGTTCCAACCCTTCCCAACCTTTTCCAACTTGTTCCATCCATTCCCAATCTTTTTCAACCTTTTCCAACCTGTCCCAACCTTTCCCAACCCTTCCCAATCTGTTCCAACCTTTCCCAACTTTTTCCAACCTTCTTTCCCCACCTTTCCCAACCCTTTCCAACCTTTATCCCAACCTTTCCTAACCTTTTCCATCCTTTCCCAACCCTTTCCATCCTTTCCCAACCTGTTCCAACCTTTTCAAACCCTTTTCCATCCTTTCTCAACCTTTTCCATCCTTTCCAACCTTTCACAACCTTTTAAAACCTTTCCCAACCTTTTAAAACCTTTCCCAACCCTTTCCGTCCTTTCCCAACCTTTCCCAACGTGTTCCAACCCTTTCCAACCTGTTCCATCCTTTCCCAACCTTCCCAACCTTTTCCATCCTTTCCCAACCTGTTCCAACCTTTCCCAACCTTTCCCAACCTTTCCCAACCTTCCCAACCTTTTCCAACCTTTCCCAACCCATTCCAACCTTTATCCCAACCTTTCCCAACCTTTCCCAACCTTCCCAACCTTTCCTAACCCATTCCAACCTTTATCCCAACCTTTCCCAACCCTTCCCAACCTGTTCCAACCTGTTCCAACCTGTTCCAACCTGTTCCAACCTTTCCCAACCTTTCCCAACTTTTCCCAACCCTTCCCAACCCTTCCCAACCTTCCCAACCCTTCCCAACCTTTATCCCAACCTTTATCCCAACCTTTCCCAACCTTTCCCAACCTGTTCCAACCTTCCCAACCCTTCCCAACCTTTATCCCAACCTTTCCCAACCCATTCCAACCTTTATCCCAACCTTTCCCAACCCTTCCCAACCTGTTCCAACCTGTTCCAACCTTCCCAACCTTTCCCAACCCATCCCACCCTTTATCCCAACCTTTATCCCAACCTTTCCCCCCCGTTTCCCCCCCCCCATTCCTGACGGCGCTCTTCCCTTGGGCCGCAGGTACTGGCGGAACAAGCACCTCTCCCCCAAGCGGCTCAGCACGGGCATCCTCGTCTACACGCTGGCCTCGGCCCTCTGCGACCGCATCCACCTCTACGGCTTCTGGCCCTTCGCCCTGGACCCCAGCAGCCGCCAGGAGCTGCCCTACCACTACTACGACAAGAAGGGCACCAAGTTCACCACCAAGTGGCAGGAATCCCACCAGCTCCCGGCGGAATTCCAGCTCCTCGTCCGCATGCACGGGGACGGACTGGCCCGCCTCACCTTGGCCCCCTGCGCCTGAGGCGGCGGCGGCGGCGATGCCTTCCTTCCCCGTTGGATCCCAGCCTCAAGGCCTTTTCCCCGTGCTTTTCCTCCCTCCTGCCTTCCCGTTATCCCTGCTTTGCCCGAGGGCTTGGGAAGCCGCGCGATTCCGGCCGCTCCGGGATGAAGCCGGTGGCGCTTCCGTTGAGTTGGAGGCTTGAAGGCGCTTCTCCTCTCTCAGCATTCCGTACTCGGCTGCCCCTTGCCTCCGTCAGAGCCGGGAATGCTCCCTTTGGCCCCTCATCCTTCATCCCCCGTTCCCGAAGGCGCCGGGTTGGAAGAGCTCCCGACGCGGTTCGGACCGCGGGGAGGTGTTCCTTATCCCTCTTGGAAGAGCCCAGGCGAGGCTGGCCCTTCTTCCTTCCCATCCACGGGAGCCATGGAATGGGTCGGAAGGGATCATGGACCGCGTTGCTCCAAGCCCCATCCTTGGACGCTGCCGGGGATGGGACATTCCCAGCTTCCTCGGGCAGCCACTTCCAGTGCCTCTGCCCCCTCTTTGTAAGGAATTCCTGCCGGAGACCACCCCCTGGTGCAAGCTGATCCCATTCCCTTGCCCCCATCCCTCCATGTCCCTGATGAAGACCCGTCGCCAGCCTCGCTTTAGGGCCTGGAAGCCGCCCGGAGGCTTCCATGGGGGATTCCCTCCTCGCTATTCCAAGCATTCCGGCTCTCCGTGCTCGCTGTCCCTCGCGCCTCTCGTCTCCCCGCCTGGTCATGCCGTGCCGGTGCCGCTGCCGTCCGCGTCCTTGTTGCTCTTCCCACCTCTTCGGGGTGGCCGCACCGCGGGCTTCCCAACGCTTCGGGATGAAGGAGCCAGCATCCCAAAGCCCTACAGGCCCCTTGGGATGCTCGGAGCGTGGCCAAGGGGTTGATCCCAATGGAACCCTGGAGGAAGCCGCCTCGCACCGCTTGGGTTTGTTCCAACCGGGAATGGAGACCTGGGCGAGGAGGGAAGGGCTGGCAGCGGAATCCTGCGGCTGGAATGCCTTCCCGTGGACTTCTCCACCTCTAAGGTGGGCTGAGGCCCACGGTGAAGGCAGAAGGTGGAGGCCGGGTGGGATGCTGGGAAGCTGCCATGGGATGAGGCAGGCATCATCCCGTCTTCGCCTCACAGGGAAGAGCATCCCAAAGCCTCCTCCCCGGCCCCCTTCGGGCACTTTCAAGCCATTCCCGGTTGCCCTGCCCCTACATTCCCGTTGGCCACGGGTGTTCCCAGGAAGCTGGTGATATCCCGCTCGCTTCCAGCCTGGGGAACACCGGGAACACCGTCGGCCTAGAGTCCTGTGGCTCAGGACAAGCGGCGCCGCTGGTTCCACTCTTCCTTCCCCTCTCTTTGGCCCTGCCGCTCTCCCCAGCCCAATTCCCGATGGATCCATTCCCGTCCCAACTGAATGTCCAGACAAGCTCAAGGAATGTCGACCTATCGATGCTTCTAAGTCTGGATCAGCTCCCATGGAAGGAGCTGGTGGGATGCAGACCCCTTTGGGTACCATCCTTTGGGTACCATCCTTTGGGCAGCATCCGTTGGGCAGCATCCTTTAGGTACCATCCTTTGGGCAGCATCCTTTGGGTGCCACCCTTTGGGCAGCATCCTTTGAGTACCATCCTTTGGATACCACCCTTTGGGCAGCATCCTTTGGGTACCATCCTTTGGGCAGCATCCTTTGGGTGCCATCCTTTGGGCAGCATCCTTTGGGTACCACCCTTTGGGTACCATCCTTTGGGCAGCATCCTTTGGGTACCACCCTTTGGGTACCACCCTTTGGGCAGCATCCTTTGGGTACCATCCTTTGGGCAGCATCCTTTGGGTACCACCCTTTGGGCAGCATCCTTTGGGTACCACCCTTTGGGTGCCATCCTTTGGGTACCACCCTTTGGGCAGCATCCTTTGGGTACCACTCTTTGGGTACCACCCTTTGGGTGCCACCCTTTGGGCAGCATCCTTTGGGTACCATCCTTTGGGCAGCATCCTTTGGGTGCCACCCTTTGGGCAGCTTCCTTTGGGTACCACCCTTTGGGCAGCATCCTTTGGGTACCACCCTTTGGGCAACATCCTTTCCCAGCGGGATGGGTGCCGGGTGCCGTTGGGAGCTGGCGTTGGGCTGACGGGGCCAGCAGCAGGAGCCATGGAGAAGGGATGGACACGGGAATGGAAGCAGTGGGATTGCCTTCAGGTCCTTCCCTTGGCTTGGCCTGGGACCTTCACTGCCTGCATCCTCCATGGATGAGACGCGGAGCCTTTGGGATGAGCTGGATCCGCCGGCTGCCGGAAGCGTGGAGAAGGGAAGCGGCTTTTCCAGGCGGGAATGGCTCGTTATTCCCATTGGATACCCACTGCCGGAGATGGGGCTGGGAAGCAAAGGGCGCCGTGGTCGCGCTAAAAGCTCCTTCGTCCTCCGCCGTATCCGAGCAGCATCCGATTCGCACTGCCTAAAGCTCAGCAAGGGCCCGGGCCCGGGCTGGGAATGCCATGGAATTCCTTGGGGAAGCAGCCGGGCCCCTGCGGTTTCTGTGGTGTGAGCGTGCCTGCAGCATCGTGTGCCAAATCCCGACCTGGAATGCTCTGGTTTTCAATAAACGGGTTTCTTGTGCTTTGGAAGCCGCATCCCGGTTGATGGAGGGGTCCCAGGGAGGTGGGAAAAGGGGTGGGGGCAGCGGGATCGGGAGCAGGGAGCCGTGGACCAAGGGAAGGGGAGGGGGGGTGATGCCAATGGGAGCCAGGAGCAATGGAAGTGCTGGCCTCCTTTTCCCATCCCTTTTCCCATTCCTTTTCCCATTCCTTTTCCTATCCCTTTTCCTATTCCTTTTCCTATCCCTTTTCCTATTCTTTTTCCTATTCCGATGCCTATTCCTTTGTTTTCCCCCTTTCTCCCTTTCTTCTCCCTTCTTTCCCCTTTTCTCCCCTTTTTTCCTCCCTTTCCCCCTTCTTTCCCCTTCTATCTCCTCATTTCCCTTTTTCCCTCTTCTCCTTTTTTCTTTTTTCCCTTTTCCCCCCTTTTTCCCAATTTTCCCCCTTTTTTCCCTTTCCCCCCTTTTTCCCATTTTTCCTTTTTTTGCTTTTCCCCCCACTTTTTCCCTTTTTTCCCTCTTTCCCCAATTTTTCCCCTTTTTTCCCAATTTTTCTCATTTCTCCACCTTTTTTTCTGATTTTTCCCCATTTTTTCCCTTTTCTCCCAATCTATACTGTTTTTTCCTTTTTTCCCAATTTTTCCTATTTTTTCCCATCTTTTCCCTTTTTACCCATTTTTCCCCTTTTCTCCCTTTTTCCTAATTTTTCCCCATTTTTTCCCCTTTTTCCCTTTTTTCTCATTTTTCCAAATTTTTCTCATTTTTCCCATTTTTTCCCCCTTTTTCCCCCTTTTTTCCCCACTTTTTCCCCACTTTTTCCCAATTTTCCCCCTTTTTTCCTGCTTTTTCCCAATTTTTTCCCATTTATTTTCCCTTTCCCCCCCTTCTTTTCCCTTTCCCCCCTCTCCCAGCTCCCCGGTCTCCCCGCGGTCCCTTTAACCCCGCCCTCCCCAAGCCCCGCCCCTCCCCTCTCCCGCTCTCCCATTGGCCGCTGCGCTCTCTCAGGCCCCGCCCCCTCCCGTTGCGCTCCTGGACAGCTCCGGGCGCTCGGCCCCGGTCCCGGTCCCGGTTCCCCCCCCCCCCCGTTCCCGTTCCCGTTCCCGTTCCCGTTCCCGTTCCCGTTCCCGTTCCCGTTCCCGTTCCCGGTTCCCCCCCCCCCCCGTTCCCGTTCCCGTTCCCGTTCCCGGTCCCTGCTCCATGAACGCGGAGCTGCCGCTGGAGCCGCTGGGCCCCGACGGCCCCATCCTGGGCGGCGGCTCCGGCTCCGGCTGCGGCTCCGTTCCGGTGCGGTCTCTCCCGCCGGGGCTGTGCTCGCTGCCGAGCGGCTCCGAGCCGGGCCTCGGCCTCCCCCCGGGGGCCTCCTACGCGGCGCTGCTGCCGCCGGCCAAGCTCCGGCCCCCGCCGCCCGCCCCGAGCCTCGCCGCCGCCTTCGGCCTCTCCGCGCCCCGCAGGGAGGCGGCGCTGGGGCCGGTGGCCGGGGCCCGGCGGGGCCTCGCCTCGGAGCCGCCGCTGCTGAGCGGGGCCGGGTCCGGGGCACCGGAGGAGCTGAACACGCGGGAGGTGGCCGGGCGGGTGGCGGCCGAGCTGAAGCGCTGCAGCATCCCGCAGGCCGTGTTCGCGCAGCGGGTGCTCCGCCGCTCGCAGGGAACCCTCTCCGACCTGCTCCGGAACCCCAGGCCCTGGAGCAAGCTCAAAGCCGGCCGCGAAACCTTCCGCAGGATGTGGAAGTGGCTGCAGGAGCCCGAGGGACAGCGGGTGGCGGCGCTGAGGCTCGCAGGTACCGGGAGCACCGGCGGGGGGGGAACGGGGGGAGCGGGAGCCTCCTGGTGTGGGCGACGGGAGCAGAGGCCCCCATTGTTCTAACGGGGACACGAATCCCACCCCTCCCTCCGTCCCTCCAGGTAACGGGAGCCCCCCCTTCTTCAGTGAGGGGTGAGGGGTGGGGGATGCAGGGATGAGGGATGAGGGATGAAGGATGCAGGGATGAGAGATGCGGGATGAGGGATGCAGGGATGAGGGATGCAGGGATGAGGGATGCAGGATGCTGGATGAGGGATGCAGGATGAGGGATGCAGGATGAGGGATGAAGGATGAGGGATGCAGGATGAGGGATGAAGGATGAGGGATGCAGGATAAGGGATACAGGATGAGGGATGCAGGATGAGGGATGAAGGATGAGGGATGCAGGATGCTGGATGCTGGATGAGGGATGAGGGATGAGGGATGCAGGATGCCGGGTGCAAGATGCTGGATGAGGGATGAAGGATGAGGATGAGGGATAGGGATGAGAGATGAGGGATGAGGGATGCAGGATGAAGGGTGCAAGATGCTGGATGAGGGATGAAGGATGAGGATGAGGGATAGGGATGAGGGATGAAGGATACAGGATGAAGGATGCAGGGTGCTAGATGAGGGATGAAGGATGAGGGATGTGGGATGAGGGATGAAGGATGAGGGATGAAGGCTGAGGGATGTGGGATGAAGGCTGAGTGATGTGGGATGAAGGCTGAGGGATGAGGGATGCAGGATGAGGGATGCAGGATGCGGGATGCGGGATGCAGGATGAGAGATGCTGGATCCCAGGTCCCAAACCCAGTCCCACGCAGTCCTTTGGGTTCCGACCCCATCCCGCATTGTGCTTCCCGCAGCGCCCGCTTCCCTGCGTGGAGCCCATGGGATGGACACGGGGGTGCCGATGGGATGTGGGACGGCATTCCCGTTATTCCAGCCCCTCCCGGCTGTCCGGAGTGCCGGGTGCCTTTGGGATCAATGCAGGCTTTGGGATCAATGCGGGCAACAGGGAGGGATGGAAAGAGCCTCAATGCCCCACGGCTTGCATTGAGCTGCCCCGTTTCCAGCCCTGCTTGCCTTGCCCAGGCCGGGGTTTCCCTATGGAGCCGTGTTTCTGGGGCAGAAAACCGGGAATGCTGGGGCTGCCCCATCCCTGGAATGGCGGGCAGGGCTTGGAGCAAGCCCCTAGGGAAGGAGTCCCCCTTGGATCGAGACGAGCTTTAAGGTCCTTTATATTCGACACTCGCTCTTCCATTTTATCCCTCTTTTTCCCTCCTTTTCCCCCTTTTTCCCCCTTCCTGCTCCCGTTTTCCCTTCCCTCCCATCCCTTCCGTTCCGGTTAGCGCCGGCTTCAGCACCGCGGACAGCGGCGGGAGCGGGGAGCAAGCGGGAGGGATGTCGGGAATGGGGGGGACGGAAGGGATCGGCGGGTGATTGGGAATGGGGGAGCAGGGGGATGTGGGGAAGCGGGGGGGGGGGGGATGCTGGGGGAGGGAGGGAGCGTTGGGAAGGGAGAGAGGGATGCGGGCTAAAGGGGAATGCTGGGATTGGTTGGGATCAGGGGGATGTGGGAGAAGGAAGAGGAGAGTGGGCTGGGGGTGTCCATAGGGAAGGCTTGGGGGGGGGGGTGCTGTAGCCGGTGCGGTCTGCAGCTAAGTATTATGGGATGGGAACCTCCGTATCCCTTGTGTTACCTATAGATAGAAGCCATTCCTCGTAGAGGAGGGCTTGTGCTGGAGCGATCCATGGGGCAAATCGGGATGCTGGGGGGGGGGGATGCACCAGCAACCTCCTGCCCCATCCCTGTGTTCCATGGGAGCCTTGTGCCCTGCCTTCCGGTCGGGAATTAGGCCTTCATCCCGCCCTTATGACCCCGTAAGGTCCCATAGGGCCCTGCCTCCATTGGACCTCACGGTCTGAGCGGGAAGCCATGGGAATGGGAGGGATGTGGGGGCTCTTTGGAAGGGGTCCCTTCCAACCCAACCCATCCCATCCCAGTTATCCCATCGAGCCCACTCTAAGGCGCGATCCCGACTCCGTGCTTGCTTGCCTTTACATTCCCGGCCTTTTCTTTCCATGCCAAGTCCTTCCCATTCCAAGACTGGGAAATGCCTGCCAAAGCTGCCTGCAGCATCCCTGTCTCCATGGGGAGGATGCTGTGGTACCCGGGGCTGGGCTGGCGCGTTCCTTGGGGCCGCCTCCTACAACGTGGGATGGGGAAAGGGGCCGCTTCGAGCTCTGGGGGATGAAATTCCTTGCTCCTGGCTTGGGATTCCAAAGGGAATAGCTGCCGAGAAGGGGAAGCATCCGTGTGCCGTGCCTGAGGAGGGAAGGCCCCGCATGGAAGCTGCCCCTGCCCGTTGCAGGTCCCTTCCAAGCCATTCCATGATTCCGTGCTCTCCGAGCCCCGCTCCTCTCCTTGGAGTGCCCTAAGCCATCCCTCCCAGGCCAGGAGCCCCATGGAACGCTATCCCAAGCCCACAGCTTAATTCCTTAGCTGAGTGGGTTCGATCCTGATTTGGGGCTGAGGAGGGACAATTCCACGCCCGGCCCATCCCGATGGAATTCTCTCTCTTCCCATCCTTTCCAGGCTGGTTTGAAGCCCGGACCTGCTCCACTCTCAGCACTCCGTGTTCTCCCCCTAGCAGCCGTTAAGGCCGCTTTAAGATCCGTTAAGATTGGGGCTAGGATCGGTCGCCATCACCGGGCTCATGGGTCGCAATCCCAAGCTCCTGCCGGCTGCTTTGCCGCGTTCCATGGGGAGCGGAGCGCTGCCGTTGGGATGGAGCATCCCCACCTTCCCTGTGCCGGCTGGGGCTGGTGCCCGTAGCGACGGGGCCGCTTCCACCCTGACCTTTCCTTTGTCTCCCTTTCCCAGCCTGCAGGCGCAAGGAGCGGGCGGGCGGCGCCGTGCCCAAGCGCTCGCGCTTGGTCTTCACGGAGCTGCAGCGGCGCACGCTGGGCGCCGTCTTCCGGCAGAACCGGCGCCCTTCCAAGGAGCTGCAGGCCTCCATCTCCCGCCAGCTGGGGCTGGGGCTCCCCACCGTCACCAACTTCTTCATGAACGCCCGGCGCCGCAGCCGCGAGCAGCGGCACGAGGAGCTTGCCGCCGCGGCCCCCGCGCCCTGCGGCAGGGCCTGACGGCACCCGCGGCACCGCCCCGCCGATGGCCACATCTCTTTGGAGACGCCGAAGCAAAGAGCTCAGGTCCAAGGGTTGGGTTTGCGTTGGGGCGCGTTCCGTCCGTCCATCCGTCCATCCATCCGTCCATCCGTCCGTCTGTCCATCCATCCATCCATCCGTCCGTCCGTCCGTCCGTCCATCCATCCATCCATCCGTCCATCCGTCCGTCCATCCGTCCATCCATCCATCCATCCGTCCATCCATCCATCCGTCCATCCGTCCATCCGTCCATCCGTCCATCCGTCCGTCCATCCATCCATCCGTCCATCCATCCATCCATCCATCCATCCATCCGTCCGTCCGTCCGTCCGTCCATCCATCCATCCATCTGTCCATCCATCCGTCCATCCATCCATCCATCCATCCATCCGTCCATCCATCCATCCATCCGTCCGTCCATCCATCCATCCATCCATCCGTCCATCCATCCATCCGTCCATCCGTCCATCCATCCATCCGTCCATCCATCCATCCATCCATCCATCCGTCCATCCATCCATCCATCCGTCCGTCCATCCATCCATCCATCCATCCGTCCATCCATCCATCCATCCGTCCGTCCGTCCATCCATCCATCCATCCATCCGTCCATCCATCCATCCATCCATCCATCCATCCATCCGTCCGTCCATCCATCCATCCATCCATCCATCCATCCATCCATCCATCCGTCCATCCATCCGTCCGTCCATCCATCCATCCATCCATCCATCCATCCATCCATCCGTCCATCCATCCATCCGTCCATCCATCCATCCATCCATCCATCCATCTGTCCATCCATCCATCCGTCCATCCATCCATCCATCCATCCATCCATCTGTCCATCCATCCATCCGTCCATCCATCCATCCATCCATCCATCCGTCCATCCATCCATCCGTCCATCCGTCCATCCATCCATCCGTCCATCCATCCATCCATCCGGCGGTGGTCCCGACCTCGACGCGACAAGCACAAAGCCACAGGGACAGCCCCGACCCAAAGCACAGCCCCACGGGCCGGCTTGCGGGGGGCAACCGCGTGGGCTCAAGCTGTTCCTCCCTCCCTTTAGCTGGCCGGGAACGCGGGATCCCCTCCGGAGCACATGGGGCGTTCCAAGGGGGAATTTTAGGGGCGTTGCGAGCAGGACCAAACCAAACCCAAGCCCTCCCGATGCCTTCGCTCCCCCCCAACCGCGCCACCGGGAGCCCCACACGCCAAAGAGGCAGCAGCAAGTGAATGGAAACCAAAGAAACCGGTCCCGCGCCGCGACGGGAGCCGCACCAAACCAAGGGAAGCCAAGGAAGCCAACCATGGCCAGCTCCAGCAGCCAATCGCGAGGCTTGGAGAAGCAGGAGGCGGGGCCTCCCCCCCACCCCCCCCCGCCCCATTGCAGGTGGTCTTTCGCTCGTGCCTATGCAGTTTCCTCCCCACAGGAGCCGAGCGGGCGAGAGCTCGGCAGCTACACAACCAAAGACAAGGAGGCTTCGCACCCGCGGCGTTGAGCTCCCCATGGGTTCCCTTGGGGGGGGTTCCCTTTGGCTCGCCCCTCTTTCTGCCCCACACTCCGGTGGTTGGGCCTGATGGGTTCCGTTGGGTGCAGTTGTTGTCACCCTCTACGCGTAGAGCTTCGAAGAGTCTTCCTTTGGCGTGTGGAGCCCATTGAGCATCCTCCTCCTCCTCCTCTTCTTCCTCCTTCCCCAGGGATAAGACTGGCTGTAGCTGGGGATCAAGGTACACCCGGATGGGTGCCGGTGCTTGGTCAAGCGCTACGGCCCCGCTCCATCTCTTGCCTTTCAACTTGGGCTTCTTTACTCTTCCAACTGCGTTGCACGGGCCTTGGAGCTCCCTGTCGCGGCGCGAGGTAGCCCTGGGGGTTGGAACTCCAAGCGCATCCCAGCCCCAAAGCCGTCCCGGATGCATCCCCAGAGCCGTACCAAAGCCCACGCAGGCAAAGCACTGCTTTCCTCCAACCCCCTGCCCACGTCATGGGGCTTGCTCCTCCCATCCCTCCTGCTCCTGGTATCCCAGCACCATCCACGCCGGGCCCTTGGAGCAGCGACTACGGCGCGCGCGCCCCAGGTGAATCAATCCGCTTTCCAAGAGCCCTTGGGTATCGCCAACGTTGAAGGGCTTTGGTCCTCATCCCTCTTCCCAAAGACCTGAGGAGGATTAAACCAGCAACCGCCGCTCCAGCCTGGGAATGGGACGCAGGAGACGGGAATGCCGCGGCACCGCCACCGGTCCACCGGTGCTCGGCCCAACGCCAAAGCGGTTTTAAGGCGTGGGGCAGCCCCGTTTCCCTTTCTGGGGAGGGTACCTTCACCCGTGGGAGGCTTTGCAAAGGGCCAAGCTTCCAACGGGATCCGTTCGGCTCCTGAGGCTTTGGGATTGAACCCCAAATCGTCTCTATGGAAGGCAAGCGCGGGCTTGCTCCAGTGCAGACGCCATGGAGCGGGAAGATCCCATAGGGATTTCGCCTGGACGCAGAGCGCAGGATGAGGCCACGCTTGCACGCCAGCCTTTGGGGCTGGATTTGGGATGGACTTTGCTGATGGATCCCATTCTGCACCCTTTGCTCACAGGTACCTTTAAGCATCACCGCCTGCCTTCAAGAGGGAGTCCGAGGACAAGCAAAGGCTTTTCCACCTCCAACCCTGCATCCAGAATGGATTCGGCCTGGGATGGGATGGGATGGGATGGGAAAGACCTTGGGATGCTTTGCCTGGACCTTGGGGCTTCTTCACGCTGAAGCAACAGGAGAGCCCCCTTCGGCAAAGCTGCTTCCAAGGAGGAGCTTTGGCGCGCGTGAAAGGATGACCAAAGAGAAAAAACAGGGAGAAAAACCAGGGAAAAAGGGAGAAAAACCAGGAAAAAAAGAGAAAAAACAGGAAAAAAGGAGAAAAACAGGAAAAATCCCCCCCTTCCCTCCCCTTGTATTGCTAGTGAGAACCAAAGAGCCTACCTCACCGTGTTGCTGATACCAAAGATACCCAAGGACCCTTCCATCCTCTTCCCCCACCCTGAAGCATCCCATGAAGGGGATTCCCTCCGGGATGCTGCTTGATATCCCCACCAGCTCCACAGCTGGGCTGGGTACCCATGGGGAGGGAGCCCTTGCTGGGAGGACAGTGAAGGCCCCTTCCTTCGCTGCGGAGCATCGCTGCTGGGCCGTGAGCCTTTCCCTATGGAGCATCCCTCGGGGTGCCCATGGAGCCCTCTGTCCACGTTGCCTTCGCTCCGTTGTCCCCGGGGCACCAGTGCCTTGCACGAGCCAAAGCAGCGGCCTCGGGGCCTCTCGGGGCCCTCCTCCTTCTCCTCCTCCTCGTGACTCTTCCCATGGATACCTCAGCTCCAAGCGGGCCTCGGAACAGGCCCATGGATACCAAAGGCTCTTCCCTTCCCTTCCCTTCCCTTCCCTTCCCTTCCCTTCCCTTCCCTTCCCTTCCCTTCCCTTCCCTTCCCTTCCCTTCCCTTCCCTTCCCTTCCCTTCCCTTCCCGTTCGCCTCTTCCTCCTCCACAGATTGCTTCATCCTCCTCCTCCTCACCCTCTCCTTCTTCTTCTGTACTTCCTTCCTTTCCCCCTCCTTGTTCTCCTTTCCTTCTCTTCCCCATCCACCTCTTCCTCATCCTCCTCCTCCTCTTCCTTTCCCTCCTCCTTTTCCCTCTCCTTCCTCCTCCTCTCCCATTCCCAAGGGATCCCAAGTTTTAACCACGGCAAGGCCGGCGGCGCAGACCACGCACCCCCCAACTCCCATATACCTCATACAGCACCGGACGGGTATACATACCCTAACACTAACCCTAACCCTAACCCTAACCCTAACCCTAACCCTAATCCTAACCTTAACCCTAACCCTAACCCCAACCCTAACCCCAACCCTAACCCTAACCCTAACCCTAACCCTAACCCTAACCCCAACCCCAACCCTAACCCCAACCCTAACCCTAACCCCATTGCCTGCCCTTAAGGCTATGGTGGGGATGTGCAACGAACCCCTTCCACGTGGCCTTCCCCAGCAGCCGGCACCTGCCGACGTTCCGGACCTCTGGAATCCCAGGTCTGTGCCAGCCACGGAGCTGGAGCAGCCAAAGAGGAAACGGCTTTCCTCGCTGAGCAGCCGAATTCCATGGCTCCCAACCTCGCCTTCCGAGCTCCCGATGTAACCCCCCCCACACCCCAACCCTTCTTTGCCAAAGCTCAATAAAGGAGGACTCATTCCCTTGGGAATGGGATCGTTCCGTTCCGAGCGCTGCGTGGGATGCTCCTCACAGCACGGCGCCCACCGGGGGCTCTGCTCCAGCCCCCTCAGTTCATGGAGCTCTGTTGTGGCGCCCCAAAAAGCACCAGTTTGAGCCCAAACCGGGCGTTCCAGCTGGAAGTGGCTGCCGGGATAGCAGCGCATCCGTCGGGAACGATGCTCTGCGCTGGCGCAGGGGCAGGGCTGGCATTCCCGGCATTCCCTTAACCGCCTCCAGTGCGTCCCGTTGGAGAAGGGGACAAAGCAGGAGCGAGAGGGCATGGGGACAAGGGAACAGGGGGGCCGGGCCAATGGGAACGGCGTTCACGCGCCCGGGATCCGGAGGGAGCGCGCACATTCCAGGTGTTTCCTCCGAGGGTTTAATTGCAATTCCGCCTCGCTGGCAAAGAACAGAGATGGGGATGCAACCCGCGGGGGGGTCACATCGCATGGAAGCCCTGGTTGGGTGTGAAACCCCTGCGTTGGGATCGAAGTGAGGCGTCGGGAAGGCGAAGGAACTCAGCCCCCTCTCCCAGCGGGCAGAATTCCGGCTCCTTGCGGGGGAAAGCGAGGGATATGCCCGGGAAAACCCTGCTGCTGCCGGGCTCAGCCTCCCCTCCAAGCTCAGGCGGTACCCAGCCCCTTCTCCAAAGCACATCCAGGGAATGCTTCGAGATTCCCAAAGGGAAAAGAGCCTAACCCTGAGCCAAGCCTTCCCTTTACTCCCCCCCGAGC